CGATCATTACAGATCTCTCGCCCGACATCCTGCATCGTCATTATTTACTAACTTCAATCTTCTTTGAAGCACAAGCGATGTAAGATTGAATCAACGAAAGAAAAACTGATCCCATTGTAAATCAATCCTTTCCCGTGTTTACGACTTGCAATAGAAGATATCGGAGGAGATTTTCTTTTCCTTCACAGACAATTATACGACAAGAAATCCGCGTTATTGATTTTTATGTAGTTTATTATAGTGGATCATTTTTTACCTATTTTCTTTTGTTCTTTGTCATGTAATATCCATTAAAATAATTTAGGTAATTAACGTAACAATTCAAACGCCAAATCTTGCTTTACAATCCAGCATATCGGGTTTCTCTTTGACTGTTAATATGGTTCTTCATGTCCGAATGCATGAAAAAATTACTGTGTGTATTTTTGAATCACGAACACGAGAGTCTTAAAACATTCTTATTTTGATTGACAGTCACTTGAGAATTAAGATAAATAATAGTTAACTCTGTAAAATTCAGGAACGGAATATTTTATGAATACCATTTGATACATTATGTCAGCGTTTGATTACCCCCCACAATTAAATACTGTAAGTACACTGTACACTTCTTCTATGGGGCATGGTGCCACATACCCATTACAGTGAACGTCCATTATTCCAGCCACATTTATCCGACTCATTCACGGACATGTTTGGATTACTATATGAACCATTAGCCGAGATATGGAGCATTTATGTTTTAGTTCTGTTTCGTTGGGTTGTGTAGGCTGGTATCTACCGCATTAACAAGCCTATATTCAGTAGGACACCGGTGTTGGTCAAACAGTACCGTGTGATCAGCTGATGACTAAATATGTAGATATCGCCTACAAACGTTTAACGAACGACCAATATTGACTGCATGGCGATACATCTACACTTTTAGTTTCATTGCGCAATCCACGGCACGGCTACAGAGGTATCCAGCATCCCAGACTGTCTCCTCTCCACTATTTAGACATCTGGCTCCTGGCACAGTCGTAACTAGAGGTCCACTCACCGAACAATATCACGAAGACCGGCAAGCCAGCACAATTAACAGAGCTTATTATGTTTTTTCTTCTTCATCATCCAAGTATTCCAGTGTCACTCAGAAAGCTGATCATTAGTCGGTAATTTAAGATGGACAATACATCAAGCAATGGCTACGAAGTTGACAGGCTTGGACTGCGGTCTCATTAGTCTCATGGTTCAAGCAGGCCACGGGGCAATGTTCCTTCCAGCAAATATCAGAGATTTATGCTTAATTGAGAGTAATAAACCGCGTATATGCGAAAATAAAACGAAGTCACTGCGTCAAGTAGAAGACTTGCAGACTCAATAAAAGTCCCCGAGCTACAGGAATAGGGTATTTGCCTCTATTATTCGCCAATCAAATCAATATGGCTTTTGATGAGGGATGTTCCAAACAGAAGGCAAACATAGCGTTCTGTGGGCCTTTGAGGCAGTTCCTATCTTGAAATCAATATGATGGGCGCCATTGCGATGTCCCGGAATGCTAAACACCAGCTGTATTCTATAGCAAATTGATACGTAATTCGCAAGGAGAAAAAGTTTCAAGAGACGCCATGAAATTCAAACATGGTAATGCTTGTTTAAAAAGTCATTTAAAGGTTTTGAAAGTCTTGGAAAGCTTTCAATTATAAGTTGCTTTTTAATTTTAACTGCTCCTGTTGTGTGAGTCATCTGATACCTGGGAACCGAGGACTATAGGGATGTTCTGTCATAAATGTTTGTCTTTAGATGGAAAACTATAAGAGGTTTCAAACTATGATTATATCGTTTTGAAGTGCACTGATGTCAATACTGTCACAATAACGTTCAATGAAATAATTTATTCCTTTTGAGCATGAGAGTAATGTCTATACCTAGTGTGCATTGTTAAACTAGTGAAAAAATAGCCAAGGTCGTATTCCGACACAAATGTCGCATACATATTTCCTGATGGGTTTGGGCATCTCTGTTTATATAGTTGATAATGTTATCCACAGAGATTATTTACCGAGTGTGTTTCCGTATCATAACATGATATATTAGGAATAAAACATTAATTGTATTATGCGAGCCTTTGGTGAGCTTAATACATAAAAAAAAATTCCTAATATATGATATTAATGATACGGAAACACACGAGGTTAATAATCTCTTTATCATATAATGTCATTCTTAAAATCACTCTAAAAAAGAGGCAAATCGTACCTGAATTTATGTTTACTTGCTAGCAGACGACATTTTCAGTGATCCTCAGTATGAATGATTTAGAGAAGAGGAAGTTGATTTTAGAGTATTATAACAAGGACATCAGATCAGCTAAAGTGATTTCAAGTAGAACAGGCATCCCTTTGTCCACTGTTTATCGTGTTTTGAAAAATATTGCAAATGGATATGGCATTGAGCACCAGGGAGGCGCAGGTAGGCCCGGAAAATTGACTGTCGGTGACAGGAGGCGGCTTGGTATTCTTGTTTCTAAAAACAAACGAAGGAGTTTAGAAAACTTAAGGCTGGATATGATTGATAGAGGAACTGTGGCTGTCTGTAAGGAGACAATTAGGAACTGAGCTGCATGCAATGGGTTGGCAGAAAAGTCGAGGAATTCCATCACCGATCATGAAACCTGAACAAAAGGAGCGAAGGTTGAACTGGTGCTTACAGCATAGAAATTTTAACTGGGACAATGTGATTTTCTCAGATGAAAGTTCTGTGTGGCTGTTTCCTAATACACTGGATTTCGGGACCAAACAAACTGAAAAACCTTTGTATCAGCGCCCAAAGTACAGTCCGGAATTTAACGTGTGGGGTGGCATATCTGTGTTAGGGGCAACGCCCCTCTGTGTATTTGAAGGGAATATGAACAGCGAGCGGTACACAGATATTCTCGAGGGACATTTACTTCCATCTGCTCACGTGTTCTATGGACATTTTTGGATTTTCCAGCAGGACAACGACCCAAAACATCGTTCAAAGCATTCACAGGCCTGGTTTCGGACCCAAAATATGACATTATTAGATTGGCCAAGCTATAGCCCTGGCCTAAATCCAATAGAAAATGTTTGGGGACTTATGAAGGAAAGTATCAATAAGACTGACTGACTGACTGAGTTTGGTTTTACGCCGCTTTTAGCAATATTCCAGCAACATCACGGCGGGGGACACCAGAAATGGGCTTCACACATTGTACCCATGTGGGGATTCGAACCCGGGTTTTCGGCGTGACGAGCCAACGCTTTAACCACTAGGCTACCCCACCGCCCGTGTCAATAAGAAAAATCTGACAAATATTGCTGAAATGAAAGAAGAGGTGGTCCGATATTGGGACAGCATGGACCACGACTTTCTAACTTCTTTGATCAGTAGTATGCCCCGCCGCATTGAAGCCTGCATTGCTGCAATCCTCACTGTTGACCTGTCTTTGAATCTGGAGTTATGTTCTGCTAATATTCACATTTAATATGTGAGTAATGAGTGAAATAAAAAAAAATACAATCTGTAAATTCTCAATAATTTCTGGTTGTATTGTATAAGTGATGATTGTATTGATTAGGGTAAGCAGCTTCCCACATTGTGCATAATGTAGTAAGAAGTACGCCACGAACGGAATAGATCTCGCTACATAGAAGGAACTTGATTCACCTATCTAGCGGTCGATTCCCTACATGGGTACAATGTGTGAAACCCATTTCTGGTGTCCCCCGCCGTGATAATGCTGAAATATTGCTAAAATAGTACTAAAAGCGGTAGGAAACTAAACTAACTCACTCGCATATTAATGAGCGTATCCTTGCCCACCGTTGACACCCGTCATAAACACATGCAAAGGCTAGTAAATCAATCACACGAAAAACACAGAAACGTATTGTACAAGTCAAATTAGAATTGCATCTGACATCACTCCTGCGTTAATGCTTCAAAACTGGAATTATATCGTATACGGCAAGCATGGCCGGTACAGAACGTTGTTATACATTATTGCTGGCCTGTGACCCATGTCACATCTTGTGTATATGTGTATATGTCTACCCCTGGAGTTAAATAGCCAGCGTCTTGTGGGGACGTTTTACATAGCATTCTGTTTGTGCAGCTGAAGGATATTTACCGTACGAACGTCAATAAATACCGACTGGTGGCAATGGGTAATTAAGTCCTAGTATTGTCAAACTGGGGAAATGAATAAACTTAATACCTTTATAAGAACGGTACAGATGAATCTGAACAACCATGTTTGCTAATCATTCTTGTATTGTCATATTTTGTAAACTTCCTAAAACTCATCCTTGATGTTAAGTTTTCATTGCGTAATAACTAAAGACGTACTGTAAGCCTTATAAGTATTTTTATTGTGTCCGGTAGACGATACGCAAAAAAGCGGTAATTTACAGAACAGAACAGTTCTGTTTGGTAATTAACGATGACAAAATGCGTTATACTTCATGAAAAACTAGTCATTTGAGGATTTCCCAGTAACCTTATGAAAACGTACGGCTTTATAGATATATAACATCTTCTTGTTTATTGAATAAAGCGTCGTTTCGATGTCGATTATGGCACCGTTACCACCAACCTCTAGAACGCTACTCAAACACCCAGTAACATTGTTAATGCAGCCATATAAATGGGTATGGGATGATTATAATGTCTGACCTGCCAGGTTGTGTGTAGTTCACATGCGGTGTTTCTTATGTTATGAAGACCCAATTTGTCAGTAGTCGATCAGCGACACACACACGGGACTACGTCGTCATACATGCTATTTAGGAACAGTGGTAGGATTTAGTGGTGACACTTATACCTCCCCGTGAAACAACCCACATTTCCTCTGTCATCCACGCATCCTTCAAACAGAACCGTTCGCTCTGTGCATCTTTACGTTGGCACTACCTTAAGCAGTTGGAATATATTTGAAAACATATAAATGAAACGATTTAAGTAACCGATCGTTTCTAATAAACCAAAGCGAAATATGAAAGTGCAAATGTTTGTTTATTGCAAGGACAATCAACAACTTTAAGATACAAAGTTATCATATAAATAATCATGAGGTAATACTAAAGTATCATGCGACGTGCGAGCACATATAGTGATTCAGTCAGGAAAATGGCTCGTTTCCTACCTGCAGTTACTCACATCATGTAATGATCGTTCAATTACACGTAGTAACCTCTAATATCAAATGATTGTACATATGTATATACGTTCACATCACATTAGCTTGTCTCTTGGTTTTGTAATTCATTACTATCATTGAGAAATGACTGCCAACATGACGTAGTAGTAGATAACTTCATCTGCACCAATCATCTATTTCTAAAATATGGGAAACGGCAGAGCTGTACAAGCCTGTCATGACTTTACAAGTTTTACAAGAGGGTAATCACCGACGTTGTAGTGTTAATGAAGTGTGTCTCTATGCTTGAGACCACGGAGTAGATATGGACAATATAGACATGATATCTTCACCATGCTTTTTTAATTCAAATCAATATTCTCCTCCCTACTTTAGTTTACAGTAACACAACAGATTAGCTGAACTGTGACATTTCCCCTAAAACGTCTCTGTGTATTTACATACAGGTATTCAGCACTTCCTCCTGCAGCTTAGTGCGTCTCTGTCATCTCGGGTGATGCTAGGGACGCTGCAGAGCCGTCGTATGTCATGTTGCTGAAGCTGATGTCCCTGAGGTTTGGGCGTGGCCTGCTGGACAGACCAGACTGTGGAGAGTTGTAATCCCCTTCCTCCACGACCTTCTTCCTCTGTGCCGTGCCCCTTCAACATCGACACAATAATTGATAATGACATTGCATTGATTGCCATTAGTGAATTACCATGTAACAAACGTGACATATCCATACTATCAAACCAGAACACAATACATGCAAGGGATGGGAAAATAGCCTTAGTGTCCAAAATATCACTTATGTCTCTGTATTCTGTCGTGAATTTGGGAAGTACACGAATCTGGTTCATCAATCAGAAGGTCTCAAATCCCAAACGTGCACCTGTGTGTGAAACTGCTGACAGCCGCATGTCTCACATTTGATATAAAAACGTACTATTATACCTACCACTTTACAATCACGATAAGTACAGTTAATGGTAGGGTACATTATGTATTTAATTCACAGGGCGAATTGGACATTTTATCTGCACCCAGCACATTGGATGGATACAAACAAAGGCAAAATGAGTATTGAAAATGTGAAATTTTCTGCTGACAATCTAATATTGCCCTTTGAATGAAACCTTATGGTAGATAAAGCGTGCCGCACTTCTGCACTTCTAAGAATTTGCTGAAATGAAGTGGACATTGTTTGGTCGGGTCAGGTATGGTTAGGTCAGGAGTTTACAAGCAGATTTAATGGTTTGCTACTTCATTTAACACATGGACGTCAAAATTGTTCTTGTTCATACACAAATGAACATCACGGGACCGAATTCTCCTCTAAAGGTAAAACTTGTAAATATCACATCTAAAGAGATATTTTCCCATAAACCCATATTAGAGCTTGAAGAAAAGGTACAAGATCATCATCATCATCATCAGCAGCAGCAGCAGCAACTTGATGAGGAAGCATGTGCTTTGATTGTATTAAGCTTTTGTGCTTCAGTTTGGATCCGTCCATGAACGTCCATTTCTGAGGTCTCACTTTAATCATTCATTTCATTTGTGACCAATCGTTTTATATTTTTGTATAGTTTGGAGGTTAATGAAATTAACATGTTTGGACCCTTCCTGGTTTTGGCAATGAGACAATGGAGGCATGTTTCCAGGCTTTAGAAATAATATTTCTAAAAAAATATTATTTCATATTATGCTTAAACATCTAATACCATAGTTCCTTTGCTCCTGTCGACGAACCGTTTGTTTTCAATATGGCATCTTTCAGTTCATCGGATGAGAATAGTGTGTTAAAGTCAGAACTACAATACAATACGCAAGTTCAGAACAAAATGAGTCTTTCAATGTTTCAAAAATCTCTGAGGAAGTTTTCAGAGTTGCAGTATACAATTGTCCCACCAGTGTGTTAGCCGCCTGAATGTATTCACTACACTGCCGTCTATGGTAGAAACAGGAATAGGACACCGGATATGAGCACCACTGATACTTTCAATTCAGATCCAATTATAGATGAAGGATAACTTATCATTTTTACACAATATTTATATTTGTGCCTTTCAGCCGGAGCAGGAAGTGATATATGAGTTCCCGGACTAAGTTTCCATCGATAAGCATGTATAGTAAAAGATCTAATTGCACTGGCCCGGGTGTTTTACACTGATACTTTCAATTCAGATCCAATTATAGATGAAGGATAACTTATCATTTTTACACAATATTTATATTTGTGCCTTTCAGCCGGAGCAGGAAGTGATATATGAGTTCCCGGACTAAGTTTCCATCGATAAGCATGTATAGTAAAAGATCTAATTGCACTGGCCCGGGTGTTTTACAGAAAATAACCTTGATCTAAGACACTCCGAACATTTCATTACTAAAGCTGGTACCTTTGTTCCTTTTCAACATATTAACTTTTATAGATATCGTTTGAGACATCCATAAGGAGAATACCTTTAGCAGCTGGCAAATTAATGTCAATATTTAAAGCATGGTTACGAATACTTTCTTAAAAAACGAGAGACATCACCTAAGAGAATCTTACTTAACCTTGAAGGGATCGCAGAGAGCTCCGTATTTGGCGCTTTTCTACCTGTCGCCGTGAGAAGGTTTTACGACACAGTGAGCGGTTTGGCGTCATAACAGTGACGTGCGGAGTGGAACTGAACTTGTAAGGCTTGCTATTCTCCCACGTCTTCATGGCTTTCGAAGTAGCTCTTCTACACGTTTTAATGTCGGTCATATATACGAGAGGGAATTAGTGGCTGGACAAATACAACGCCAATGTTGTTTAGGTTATTATCTGTGTTCCATATTGATAACCCGTTTTAAACGTCGGAAAAATTTCAAAAGTATGGGAATTTGTCGTAGTAGATCGGAGATCAGCATACTGCGATGTCAATGAAGAGCTGCGAGTTGGGGTAATGTAATTTAGCCAAGTTAATTCTACAGGTAACTAGCACAATATGTCATCCCATAATTAATCTGCGTATTTTGTTCCTGTTGAATGTTTTATAGCTTTTTGTATTTTTCTGATCTAATTGATCAACTCCCTTTAACCTGCATTGTACGTTTGGCAGCACTTGGCAGATAAACTCCTGATATACATATATATTAGATAAACAATCACAAGAGAAACAAAATTAGTTGGCCAGGGGTGGCGTTATCAGAGGACTTATGTGCGTATTGCCTAAAGTTTAAGTGACCCTATTCTGTGAGAAGTAGTTCTCTTCCTTAACAGACACCCCTGTAGCATCACTTCGACGTCCGCACAAACAGGATCCCTGTACGCCTGCAGCATCTTTGAAAACCTACCCTTATGAATAACACCGAGATTGAAACAGGATTTCTTCTTGTTGCGAAATGTCGCATGCGTCAGATGTGGAGTGGTTGCACGGCAGGTATCGTAACGCTGATAGCTTTTGACTGGGCCTGGTATTAACGATGACCGTCTTTGTTAAGGAAAGACAATCAGGAAGCGAGCTTAAAACACCGTGTCTTCGCCAGAATGAAACACCCTTTGAAGAACTGCTTGAACATTTATCAATATTTCCACTTCAGAACTTATTACATCTGTCATTTAATAACCGGAGACTTGCTGAAGGAAATCAATTAGGTACTGCTTTAAGTTCCGAAACGCACTCATATGTGTAGTGATGGCACTTTTTTCGCTCTTTTTTCCTGCCAATCATGTACAATTTGTCATTTGCTATTAATGCGTCAACCAAAAATCAATAGAAACCAACTTTGTCCTAATCGAGACATGTCATATCAAATTTGAAGTAAGAATTGCTGCAATTTATCATCAAAGAAGTCCGCCGTACAGATAATTAAGAGGGTCTGTCTCCGTATCTTAATAGTCGCGGGCTTGCTAAATAAGGCACCGCCACCGACATTGACGATCAGTCTGAATAACCATTACTTAGGGTGATTTGTAGGGTAATGGCCGTGCTTATTATACCGAGCAGAACAACGCCCAGGATCGAGCGGGATGTAAGGGCCGCGAACTGTGTCATATCATAGGTTACAATAATACATACATATACGTGGTATACAATTAGCATGAAATTGCAACTTATTTGCTCCACTGATTATATTGCCATTCCTTGTTCCACTTGGTCTATGAGGCAGAAGAGGAGACTTCAGAGATCTCATGGAGATTACCTTTCTGATCTGGTTGCACTACTAACTCGACCGCTACTGCAGTCGTGCGAAAGTTTGCCTGAAGTAAAGGTTAGCCAATAGAATGAGGTTTCCGCATTTAAACTGAAGTAAACACATCTGCCATGTAACACGTGTAAGTGCCTCGAAGTTAACATCCGGACAGAAGATTCCACTTCAGTGCTTACAACTGACATTTAATGAAACGGGAACAACATACGGATCGGAAACGATAGAGAAGAGTGTTTGGGTCGTATTGTATGATAGTATTATCCCTAGTGTGCGGCCGAGAGTATGTATTAAGGACAGTATACGCACGCGCACACACACACATACACACGCGCGCACACACATACACACACATAAACTGTCGTGTGACGTGTTAACTTTAATCACATCAGATGTATCTTCTAACTATCAATCACCTTGGGTTAGCCATATTGAATCAATATTAAACAACTGTGGTCTTTCATATTATTACTGATGCCAGGCCTGTATGCCAGACAGTGGTTGGTTAGTATGATCGACACGGTTTTCAGTGATCAATTTTATTAATCATGGAATAGTCTTTTTAATAACAGATTAAAAGGCTTTTACTATAGATATTACAAGAAATAACATAAATTTGAATAGTACCATTATCTATCAAAATATATTGCTTATCCCTTACTTAAATTCAGAACTACAAATCATAAACTACCAATTGAGAAAGGTCGCTGGACCAATACACCGACAGAAAATAGCAGTTGTGACCCTTTGTAACTCATCAGCCACAGCAGACGAATTTCATTACATTGTTTGCTGTACATCAGTAGAAATTCAAAGAAAACATCACACTAATTACATATACCAAAAATGCCAGCCTCCACTCTTTCGAATTATCTTTTCTTCAAGAAAAATAAAGAACTGAAATCTCTTGCAAAATGTATAAATATTATAGCAACAAAAGGGCCATAGCCTTCCTCTGTTGTATTAAATTTGATTATGTTTGTTGTATCAAGTATATGTACTGCCATCCTTCTCACCATACTGTATGCATTATACCCTGTACTCTTATACCACCTTTGATGGTCTTATGCTGAATAAAGATTCTTGAATCTTTAATCATATACACTGGACTATATGTGTGATTCTAACCAACAACGAAGCCCTCTTCCGCCCACAATGTTAAAGTCGTAAAATGGAGAAACAACAGCAGATAATGAAATAACGTTCATGTTTCAAAACGTCAAATGAGGGTCAAAACGTTAACAGAAAAACTAGTGGTAACATCACCTCGGTTTATATAACGGCCTACCTTGTGGGTGATAGGTAATCACTCGGTCAAACAATACAACAAAATGTACCAATGTACAAAGGTGGCTTCACTAACCAATGTATGTTGAGAGAGCTGAATCGCTCATTAATGTGAAAATTATAAACCGGCCTTTCTGAAAACGAAGAACTAGTTTCTGGATCCTTTTGCATAAACAAATCCGATAGAATAACGATGGTATGTTATCCGTTTCTTTACAGAGTGTGGCAACCCACAGAAAATCGTGCGTGGATCGTTAAAAATCAAAACATCTATCCCGACCCCACATTTGCTTCCTGATTGCATTATTGTGGAGAACATCATACCAATCAAAAGTGGTTCTGGAGCTCCTGTACATACACAAAGCTAGATCGCTACCACTGTATCTGTCAACGATAGATGTCATTAAATAGCTTGCAATATCATCAAGCCCATTGCCTCCAACACCTGGTATCACCACTGTTTGACAGAATCACTTGTTATTTAAATTGCAGGTAATTGACCAGTGCATCCCTAGGTACATTTCCATAAGACCTAAACAAACTACTGTACATCCTGGTGAACCTTCCAGCCGCTGAAACTCACAAGCCAATATACCGCCTGGTGAATGTCTTCATAGTAAAGAGAATATTCATACCAGACAATCAGACAGTTAAAACAGAAATTAATATTGCAGTCGGGGTTAAAGAACTATAACGAACAGTGATACTGATATATAACCCTGGCCATGAATTATTAGGCACTCTTTCACAAACTTGGCGTTTCTCACTTTCACTCACCCCCCTACACATTACTTCAGCGAGTCCACTGTCATGGACATGTTTACAGGACAGCCTTATCTGACCAATAGCGATGTTGGACATGTGTGTTTCCGTATCGTAGACATAATAGGATAGAAATTCAGAATTTGGATTACACTACCCAAATTATGGTGTTTTTGTTTCCTAAACATGACACTTATGCTGCGGAAGACTACTTTGCTAATAATCTCTGCATATCATTAACTAAGTGATCTCGTCACTTGTATACCTGCTGAAGTAATTGTGACATATTACATTTAAATATTATGATACACAAGTCTCGATTGCTCCTGATTAAGTTGGTATTGTTACATAAAAGTAGTCTAAACATTCTTAAAACAAAGTCAATAAACATCCAAGTCTAACTAAACAGTGTGCATCAAGTGATCATTAGGACCGGTAATATTGACTCCATCTGCTTACTGGCTCATTACTCGGGAATATTGACACTCACACGGAACTACCAACGTCTCTCAAAAGTCGGGGCTCGTACCACAAATCGAAACTAGGCGCAAGCCCTTTAATTATAACTACACGGTTTACTTTCCTGTAACAGATCCCCGAAACTTCAAAACTGGAAGATAAAAACTGAAAAGCCTCGCTAATTGAGCCAGGTAAAATTGATTCAGGTATGGGCAATCCATACGAAAAGCCTCGCGGCTCGGAACAAGTCTTTTTTGATCTCCCAAGAAACGCGGTGCGTGGATAATTGCGATAAATCCCAGCTTTCTTTGAAGTAATTATTTCTTTGACATTTGATCCTGGCCAATACTTTATTGCCCAATTAAATCTTCCGTTAGCCCGAGAAAGTAGTATATACGAAAGCGGAGACAATATCTTTGAGATAAAAGAAGGGTGAATTTGGAATTATGAGAGAGAGTTGAAGGGTTTTTTATAATGGGCGGTCCGCAGTGGTTGTGTATAGCGGGAGACATCATTAATTGCAATACGTGGACATACCTGAGATATGACGGCAATAAAATGTAACCAAAAAGGACGCAATTGCAATTAAATCTTCGCGAACTATTGATAAATGTCGTGTTAATTACATCTCCCTTAGATTAATTTCTAACTCCTATCGTTTATACAGATTTAAGGACCAATGTATGATCTAATACCCGTCATGCAACAGTGACATATCTTGTTCCTGCCGTCATTGGAGTACTGTCTTGTCTAAAACTCGGGAGGTGAGTATAGAAATAGATTGGCTTTAATGCGTTGATCGGTAAACGAAATACTGGCTGGAGAAAAAGCTGCATACCTTGTCACTATAAAACTACACCTAAATGGGTTCTATTTTTTAGACGTCCATTAAATACTGATGATTTCTCTGTGTGAGTTAATTTCTATTGATTTCTATTGATGTGTTATCTTTCTATGTATAATTATTACGACATAAAAATAGAAGGAATTGGGTATATTGTAGACACATCCATTATGGCGAGCTAGCCCGTATTATCCTGCCTGAGTGCGGCATGAAAGGGTTGTTTCAGTGTTACATTATAACCTGTACAGAATGGATATCTTTTACGAGCGTGGTAGTTTCATGTCCTTCACGATACGGATGTACAAATGAAAATTTATTTTTCGACGCGTAACTGACAAGAAGTAATTATATCATCAAATTTACGTAAGAAATAGTATACGAGATTAATTCAGATTTATCCTGATGACTGATTCAGTGACGGCAGTGGTAGATGCGTTCACATCATAACTGCAGATAATATTGCAGTTATTCAAATTCAACAATGTCCGCACTCCATGTTGGCATCAGATACTTCCAAGTGTTCATTACTGACATTTAAATGAACTGTAAACGGCAGGTAACTGGAGAATGTATTTGTATTTTAGCAGATCAATAATATATTGTTATTTGTTTAGAAGGAATGACACTGTCAGATCATTACATGTATGTGCAATTTAGTATTGTTTCCTGCTAGACAATGCTGTAACAAGATGGATGAGCCTGGTGAAGGATGTTGTCAGTGTGATTAGACCCCTATTCCCCTGGTTCATGGAAACTGTGTCATGTGACCCTGCAGAATTGAGTACATGTCACTTCCTATTGTTAGGGGTTCTATGGTTTGGGGGTAATGCATAGTCCACCTCCCTCTCTACTCCCCCTCTGTACTCCTCTCTGGTTGTGCACCCCCATTCAAAACCTCCTCCTTGGTTTCGAGGATAAAGTGTTTGCCAGAAAGAAAGTTGGTTGTTCGATCCCTGGCCATATCGTATTAGAAGATGATAATTGTTGTTTCCCTGCCTGTAGCGCGGAGAGAAGAAGGACTGGTCGTCTGACAGTACGTATACACAGACTGTACTGTGTCACAGGGGGTATCACTGTCATTCTGCCGCATGCTATTTCACTGGGCTAGTACTGGGTTTAGCGGAAACAATGCTCAAAACGTTGAATGTCTAATAAGAAGATACAAGCATTCTTACCAAAATCATAGCACATTTCAACATTTCAACATTTCAACACATATCTTGGACATGTCATCCGCTCACCATCAGAAATGAGTGTTTGTCCCGCCGTGTGCCAAGCCCCTGTACGACATGGCCGACGTATCATGGCCATGTCACACCATGGCTAATATGATGTACATTGGAAATGAATATTTAGGCGATTGGTAAATATTTGACTTGGTCCTGCTAGAGGAGTAAGTGGGAGCCACACGATAAACATTTCACATCAACAACGCACGTACAAAAGGCACGATGAAAACAATTCACGTGCATCACACATGGGCATTGCTATCAAATGAAATACTTCACTGTCATGTGTTGCCTCTGTGGCGGCTGCCTCAGGTGGACTTAAAATCAACCATTCGGTTTTTTGGTGTTGGTGTCCTGGATTTTAAAGTGATCGAAACATTCAAAGCAGTGTCTCTGACTATATTTGACAAGTAAAACCGACTAAACCACACATTCCTGTGTTTGAATGTCCCGTGTGGATATTTCATACATACCCTGGGTGCCTGGACAAAAAAGGGATATCAGTGAAGGAATTTTTGTGGTTTGTGGGGATTTTCATTTCGACAATTAGAAATTTATAAATCGAGGAGGCTTACAATCGATAACAAATCGTTTCAGAAAAGGTACTGTTGATTGACTCTTTCAGACAGCGATGAGAGATCGCTCAATGTCCACCTGATGTAGGAAGATATGGTATTAAGGCAACACATGTGATCTTAACGAGATTGCTCTGATTAATGTGTTCTCACAGATACGCATGTATATCTTGTATGTGCTTTTATCACATCAACTGCGACAACATCCTCAATGTAATCACATGACATCTCTTCTGTAACCAGCGTCTCTTGTACGATTCAAATATTGTTTATTGATCTCTGTTAAATAGTGATGGACCAAGTTTTCGCGAAATGTGAGCTTATTCAGTACCATCAAAGGTGGTATCGGTCGATAGTTTCGGATAAATAACAAAATTGCTACCATACTCCTTACCTCTTCCTACATATGGCTACAACTCCAGCGATGATTACGACAGCACAGACGGCGACGACGACTGCAAGTGCAATGGTGGACACGCTCATGCCATTTGTGCTCTGACTGGTACCTGACAGCTTGGTGGCTGTACAGATCGGGTCTAAAACAGACAAACGTGCAGCTGTACTGTCTATTCCTAGTCTGACCCCACTGCCCTACACCTTCAGTCAACATGTCGTACCATGGTTTACTTGGAACAGGCAAGTAATAATGTCTGTCCTGTAATGTTTCACAGTGCAAACCGGCAGTATGTGACATCATGTAGCAAGTAATGTTTACAGTAAATCCCCAGTCTCTGACATGAGTTGTATTGTTAAAGTAACCATTCACGACTAACTGTCATAGCAGTACACTGTGAAAGTATGTAACATAATGTAACCTATCATGTCATTACAGTACACTGTGAAAGTATGTAACATAATGTAACCTGTCACGTCATAGCAGTACACTGTGAAAGTATGTTACATAATGTAACCTATCATGTCATTACAGTACACTGTGAAAGTATGTAACATAATGTAACCTGTCATGTCATTACAGTAGACTGTGGACGTATCTAACATAATGTAACCTGTCATGTCATTACAGTACACTGTGGACGAATGTAACATAATGTAACCTGTCATGTCATTACAGTACACTGTGGACGTATGTAACATAATGTAACCTGTCATGTCATTATAGTACTCTGTGGAAGTATGTAACATAATGTAACCTGTCATGTCATTACAGTACACTAGCACAGTATGTAACATAATGTAACCTGTCATGTCATTATAGTACACTGTGAAAGTATGTAACATAATGTAACCTGTCATGTAATTAGAATACACTCGCACAGTATATAACATAATGTAACCTGTCATGTCATGTCATTACAGTGCACTGTGGAAGTATGTAACATAATGTAACCTGTCATGTCATTACAGTACACTGTGGAAGTATGTAACATAATGTAACCTGTCATGTCATTATAGTACACTGTGGAAGTATGTAACATAATGTAACCTGTCATGTCATTACAGTACACTGTGAAAGTATGTAACATAATGTAACCTGTCATGTCATTACAGTACACTGTGGAAGTATGTTACATAATGTAACCTGTCATGTCATTACAGTGCACTGTGGAAGTATGTAACATAATGTAACCTGTCATGTCATTACAGTACACTGTGGAAGTATGTAACATAATGTAACCTGTCATGTCATTACAGTACACTGTGGAAGTATGTAACATAATGTAACCTGTCATGTCATTACAGTACACTGTGGAAGTATGTAACATAATGTAACCTGTCATGTCATTACAGTACACTCGCACAGTATGTAACATAATGTAACCTGTCATGTCATTACAGTACATTGTGAAAGTATGTAACATAATGTAACCTGTCATGTCATTATAGTACACTTGCACAGTATGTAACATAATGTAACCTGTCATGTCATAGCAGTACACTGTGGAAGTATGTAACATAATGTAACTTGTCATGTCATTAGAATACACTCGCACAGTATGTAACATAATGTAACCCGTCATGTCATTATAGTACACTCGCACAGTATGTAACATAATGTAACCTGTCGTGTCATTATAGTACACTTGCACAGTATGTAACATAATGTAACCTGTCATGTCATAGCAGTACACTGTGGAAGTATGTAACATAATGTAACCTGTCATGTCATTAGAATACACTCGCACAGTATGTAACATAATGTAATTTGTGATATTCTTGGTGTACCACCCTCTCTACGATGCTGACCAATCAGCAAATATTAAAATGGTAACGAACCTGTGTCCGTTGTCCAGTTCTCCGTGTTGATATGTGGGTCACACAGCTGACAGTGGTCGCCGGGCTTCTTGTCGCCATCTTGATAGCAGGCACCATTGATGAGGCACGTGGCAGCCTGTGTGTACACACGCAGATATATACATATATGTATGTAACAGATATAAACATGTTATTCATATGAAGGTCAGGTCAAGACGCCAAGTTGTCCGGCTACAAACCTCTCTACTACACGAAGCATCAGTCCCCTTCTCGTTGACTTCACATGCATGGCAATCATCATACACAACATGGAGATAGCTCTGGCTGCTGCGCTGCTGACCGTTGTTGCTGACCGCTACCCTGGCGCTATGGGGGCTAGGGAGGCTGCAGACTACCTGGTACATGCTGAGGAACGTGGCCGGGGCCGGTATCCACTGGTCAGTTTCAACCACATGGGATGTCACCTGCAGAACGAGAAATGACCAGGAAAGGATCAACCACATGGGATGTCACCTGCAGGACGAGAAATGACCAGGGAAGGATAGGTATCATTTCGGAAGCCAAACAGGTCCTTTGTATGTCCAATTACGGACAAAGTCAGAGGTTCTACCATACCACCGTGACAAAACAAATACGAACTTCTCGGTAATAGTGAAAATGTTGAGGGGTCTGTATATTCAGTTGGCTGACAGTGATCAGTCAAGATTGGTTTTAAATTTCATATAAGTGTAGCCCTTCAGACTCTATTAAATAACATAGGACGATATCATGTAAGCACTGTTGAACACTATAGAGACACATATGTGTTCTTAAATATACGGGGCGGTGGGGTAGCCTGGTGGTTAAAGCGTTCGCTCGTCACGCCGAAGACCCGGGTTCGAATCCCCACATGGGTACAATGTGTGAAGCCCATTTCTGGTGTCCCCCGCCGTGATGTTGATGGAATATTGCTAAAAGCGGCGTAAAACCAAACTCAGTCAGTCAGTCAGTCTTAAATATACACCACTATCATGGCTTCATAAAATCTAATCTTTCAGTAGCACCACAATTCAAACCATGTTGATGATCCTGAAGTTTAGAAAACACTCTGTGTTCAGCAAGTTTAGAATCTATTGCCACAACTTAGGTGTAACAAGCCGTTACTCAGCAACGCTACGAAAGAAAAGGCCGTTTCTGAAATTGTCAAACGAATGAGTGTACACAATAAGTGTTCTAGAATAAATGTATTCTTTCGCGATAATTCGAAATCTATCATGGTCTTTGGCGGTCAAGTTCGAATGCAGAATTCTAAACTGTCCTTTTGCTAAAGTGCAACATTCCCGTGTATATGTCTGCGCACTATTGGATCTGCTGCAGTCGGCCGCTGATTGCGTTCTCTGGTAGCCGCGACCTTCCATCGACTGTTGCTATCTTGACGGCAGAGCGGAATTACAAACAGTGTTCCAGGACGAGAAAATAACAGTGCAAGATTCGATGAAATATACATGTATGATTTCTTCCCTTTTCTAAAAGACAGAGTACAGTGAAGCTGTTCCAGCGCCATTCCATGGCTCAATCTGGTATATTTACCTTTATAGGCTGGTAAAAGCACCCGAGGGTGTCACTGTTGACAAAGTTTAGTCCCATGATAGCAATCTGTGAACAGTCCATGTGGTTGACGTTGCAACCTCCACCGTCTTCATTCACTGGCAATATGTCTGGTGTGACATCCTTACTGATTGAACAGTTCTGTCCCGTGTACCCCTCCTCGCATACACACGACCCTGAAACAATAGCAATGAAGAGTCTTGATAGATATCGGCATCACCCAACCCTTGTGTCCAACGATTAGGAGAAAAAGTAGGTTACAGAGGGGGCTGAAAACATCATAGTGCACTCATAATGCTACTACTATTGCTTACCTTGAAAAATGCTACTTGGTGTGTTTCATGTGTTAAACCTTAACGCATCACATATATACGATTTGTCTGTTATTGTTAGTCTACGGTGCTCACCTTCCGAGCAGTTGCCATGTGCACATCCCCCAGGACAGAGCTTATCCATGATGTCCTTTGGTATATTCTCCCAAATAGTGGTGTTTTCTGCCCCATTCCACATACTGACATTGCGCTCGGCCTCACTAATACACTTAGCTACTATGTCGTCCAAGTGAGACTGTGCCCAATCCTCGTCACCTGTTTCCTGAAACAGACAAAATAGTTTGTAATACTATGTATATACTTCCAATGTTCTAACACGTGTATTAGATAATTTAAGCATTGTCAACAATGATAATCATTCTTATAATACTACCTCTAATACTTGATTACCTTACAGTGGCGTAGTTACAGCGCAGCACAAAAAGCATGTGCTTACACTTTAAAATTGAAAGCAAACATTGTGTGATTGAACATGATAAAAAAATTAACATTTAAATTGTCTTCATGTTTTCTGGGTGGTTTCTGGTATAGTACCGTGGCACCCGAAAGCAACTTGCTTCGCGGATCATTAAAAGATAAAACGTGTTTTGTCTACACTATGCAATATATTATGTCTGGAAACAGGCTAACACTTCAGTCCGAAATCGCTTAGTCTAAAGGCAACATCGATGATCTAGTCTTTGAAATTGTTTAACCCCTTAAGTATCCTTTTGTTATGTGCATAAATGAGTAAGAAATCTGCAAAACGTTCATCTACAATTGATTGTTACTTCGTTAAACAACCCACATTGACTGTAACACGCGTTTTACCTGACAATAGTACCCAGTGTTCCCAAACACGTTCTGATACATCAGCATTATCTAGTTATGTACTGATTCCTCGCCAATTGTTAAATCACACACTCAGAAGCCATCTACTGTCTCTGCTGAGCCGGTATAGTTGACAAATGTTAAGACTGGTTTCGCTGGTATTGATATTGGGTCATTTGACTGTATTTATAATATTTACTTTGTCAGGGTCTGCTTGAGTTTGATCCGCTAGTTTGGTGTTTATTTTTATGGTTTGCATGTTGTACTATATTGTTTATGTTTGTCTCAACTTTATCTCGTGTTCAGAAGACTGTTTTACTTTTAGATGTGCTATACTCTCCCTAACATAATTCCGCAATCACAGGTACTGCTACATATCCATTGGCAGCACCAGATCTGATTCTCCACTGCTGGAATCAGTCCAACTTCCAGTCATTTGGAGCAGATATCGAAGCTTTAAGTGATTGTGTCGGCCATGCTGGTGGCACCAGAAACATCGTCATGTAAGTGTTCCTGATCTTGGCTAGGACTTGTGGGATGAGTGCTGTCGGTGAAAAGGCATAGGCAATCGTTCCTCTGGGTGTCGACTTGGCATCCACTGCAGAGACTTGAGGATCTGGGACAGGATGGAAAAACGTCAACAACTGATAGTTGAGTTATGTAGATCTATATGAGTTTGTTCTCATTTGAATGTTATCTGCCTGAAAGCATCTCAATGAAGCGTCCAGTCATTAAAATCTTATCCTGGCATGATAACGCGCCTACAAGGATGTTGATATTCCCTGGGATGTGTCTTGCTACCATATCTGCAAACTGCAATCTGCAAACTGTCTATTAGAACGTAAAGTTCCTTCGCAAAGCCCATAAGTTCTTGACAGAGTGTGTGCCTCTACGTCTGTTGATATAAGCAACTACTTTGGTGTTGTCCGTGGCAACTAGAAGTATTTGTCCCCAGTGCCGGACAGCCAATAGGACCGCTTTCATCTCAATATGTTGATATGGACAAAGCCACCTCATGCCCTCTTGTCTTCTGGATGAGCTCCCCATTGGGTAGGAGATTGGATAGGTACGTGAAGATATGCGCCTTTCAGATATATGGAGATCATAGAGTCCCCTAGAAGTCTCCATATGGAACCCTTCTTGTGAACCAGAAATACCAGAGAGAACACTAGTCAGGGATCCACAGGGTCCAACTCGACAACAGCTTCCCAATCTAAGAGCTTGTCTATCGTTGTCATTTTCTCGCTTGGCATGTCATTAATGGGAGTCTCTTGGTGAACTGAAGACGGCATTCTTCTTTGATTACCTTGAGGATCCTGGAATGCCTTTACCGGAAAAGCTGGTATCAGTCTCCGATATGTGCTGTGTACCCTTGCTATTGCTGTCTGGGGTCCGGCCTTGCCGAACTTACTGGTCAGAAACATAGTGGTGTGTGGTCCTGTACATAGAGCTCACGTTACAAATCAGTTGAAGTTAAGCAACGTTGGGCGCGGAGAATCCTTGGATGGGTGACCGTGTGTGACAGCTTGACTCCTGACAGTTTCTTTGGAATTATAGTCTTGCGTGGGGACAAATGGTTCAAGGTTTTCATTCACAGTTACAAGGTATCATGTGCCCTCTTAAGAACGTGCATGAAATAACAAACGTGTATGTCATATGATTTAACTTACGAAACCAAACGTGGTTCATACTGAAGCTAGTAAACTTGATGTACACATTTCAGCATTTCAGTTGTAACACCATCCTCGATGCATCTAGGTTCGGCCCGATAATTTTATTACCTCCCTTTGCTGGCTTTTTATCCAATCAGTTGTCTACGATGGGAAGTTGAGCTACCAATCACAAGGCTTCTATCATAACTCACTTTTGCTACTTTTATCTAACAGATTAAACTTGGCAACACAATTGTTGCAGACGTACTCTGCAAGAAGTAGAAGGAGTTCTTGCATATAAATTTTGAAGATTTCAGACCTGTCAATTTGTCTGTATGGTTTATTCCGTATATCTGAGTCCCACAGCGAACAAACCTTCGCGGCTGCGGCTGCTATGCTCGTTGACACTGGCAAGCTCGGTTGTCACGGCTTATCTGATTGCCTACTGTGTGAAAGCGGATCCAGCAAAGGTAAGTAATAAAATTATCGGGCCGAACCGTAGATGCATCCAGGGTAATTGTGGACATTTACTGGAACATATACCCTGGAGATTATCGAGGATGTTGTAACTCAGCCTGTCAGGCAGATCTACCATTTCAAAATAATTTCAGGCAGATCTACCATTTCAAAATAATTTAACGAAACAAAATACTTCACCTATTCTTTAAAAGCTTTCAAGGATGTGAATGTGTATGGGGCTTTTCAACAAAGTTTTTCACTTGTAAGCAATGTTACATATTACAAAATTCAAAATAAACATTCAAACATTAAACATTTCAGAAATCGAGGATTATAAGAAATGGGGATCAGCAAGTGACATACTTGCCAACACACCCTGGTCAGCAGTGACAAGTGATATACTTCATATACAACATATACTGGTCTCTCCCTTCTTGCGGGATCAGCAGTGACAACTGATAACTTTACCAACATATATTTGTTTCCCTGTTCCAGGAGATCAGCAGTTACAAATGATGTACTTCCCAACATATACTGGTTTCTCTGTTCCAGAAGATCAGCAGTGACAAGTGATATACTTCCCAACATAGCTTAGTCAGCAGTGACAAATGATATGCTTCCCAACATATACTGGTTTCTCTGTTCCAGGAGATCAGCAGTGACAAGTGATATACTTCCCAACATAGCTTAGTCAGCAATGACAAATGATATACTTCCCAACATATACTGGTTTCTCTGTTCCAGGAGATGACAATACTTCCCAACAAGCTTAGTCAGCAATGACAAATGATATACTTCCCAACATAGCTTAGTCAGCAGTTACAAATGATGTACTTTCCAACATATACTGGTTTCTCTGTTCCAGGAGATCAGCAGTGACAAGTGACATACTTCCCAACATAGCTTAGTCAGCAGTGACAAATGATATACTTCCCAACATACCTTAGTCAGCAGTGACAAATGATGTACTTTACAAGAATATACAGGTCAGCAGTGACAAATGATATACTTCCCATCATATACGGATCTCTCTTCTTGGGGATCAGCAGTGACAACTGGTACACTTAAGATCCGACCCTTGTTTCTCTCTTCTGGAAGGTCAGCAGTGTCACTGTTGTACTTGCCTTTCAGACCCTTGCCTTTCACTCTTGGGACTTCAACAGTAACGTGGACTTGGTGCATTAACCACCATCTCTCCTCTATGAGGTCAGCAATAACATTGATGCACTCGACACCATACTCTTTCCTATCTCGTCTGGGTCGTCTGTGACGCTGATATACTTACCGTCAGATCCTGTGCACAATCTGTGATGAGGTCATCAGAGACAGTGACGTAGTCCTCACATGCCTGCTTTGCTGGCTGCTTGTTAATGTAGTCCTCACAATACGAGCGGGCGGACTGTTCGGTGTATGCGCTCAAACCTGCATCCTGGAGGTCAAAGGAAGAAGAAAATAATATCAGCACATCAACAGCAATGGTATGATGTTTAATGCAATCACTTATGTTTACTTAAGTTCAAGTAAAACATCCATTTCCTAATCTTACGCTCATGTAATGACGAAGGTATTGTCAAGTAAATAGGCCATGACCATCACAATCGGAAGGACTAAGCCGAATAGCCGACTTCCTTAAAATGTGTCATTTATTACCTCAGGTGTGGTGGAAAGGGAATGTTTAAGTAGCCAAGCGTTTCACGATCATTGCTCTCTATCTACATCATCCAAGGGCCCAGCCTCAATGATGACAGCCTGGTACCTACCTCTTCCAGGGACTCTGCCTGCATGGGTGCTTCCCTCTTAAACCGTCGGTAGGCAGCGCTCGGAAGCTTTGCCTGTCGCACTAATGTAGCGGTAATGTCGTCCCCTGAAAATGACCAAGAACGATGCAATTGAAATGAAAAATATTTACAGTGAAATATCGTATTGGGAATCAACACAATAGATACTGTAAACACGATATACAGATGGTGGCTTAGCGGGTTAGGCGGCTGACTTTGTGTGCTAGCGATTAGGTGCCTGACTCTGAGGGTGTGGGTTCGAATCCCGGATGGGTCTTAACCCAAAAAGTACTAGAATTTGTACTTTACTAAGAAAGTGTAATCCCAAATATATACAGAGTATTACATTGGTTTAGGATTTTGCTCAAGGACTATCAAGTTACATCACACGTTTATGCGCTATTCAAATTGCTTTGCAAATACGTAGTATATTTTACGAGTGGTTCACTTACTAGATGACGTAGAGGTGCATCTGAAAATATCGAGACGAGGTGCACAATAGAGTTGCCTCCCTTCAACACAGCTACAGAACGTTTCCGTTGTGGTCTTTTCAGCCGCGACACCGTGAAACATGGTGTTCCTCTCGGATACCCTATGATTAAACGCAAACAGTATTCACTTATCTATATACAGCCATGACCTGTATATTTTCATATTCAGACAACATCCATCTTATTTGATTCTTATCGGGGGAACCAATGTTACACTTGTGGTCAGACACACCACGCGATTTGAAACGCGAATCTCAAGTAAGCCTAAATGGCATTTAGCTATTCAGACCGGATAATTCAATATCAGGGCGCATGATAACATATCATGTGATGTATTCATGGAATGAACAGTTGAAAAAAGTACGACCGACAAGTTACACTTTTCCTCAAGTGACACTACACTTAATGGTTGCACGTGTGTCATGAATGCGTGTGCCTGTGTGTATGAGTGTCTGTGTGACTCTTTGTATGTGTGTATATGTGAAACTGTGGGTATACTAGTAGTTGTTTGTGTGTGTGCGTGCATGCGTGCGTGTTTCCGTGTGTGTGTCCCACGCGCTCAGTCCATAAGAAACGACCAGTTATCAATCAAGCTTAGTATCTTGTATCAGTCTAATACAAACTTACAGCCATGTTCTGGAGAATTCATCGGGAGTTTGTTTGACAGTGTAGGTCTTGTGGTCAGCACCGTACAGATCATCATTCTTACTGCCTGTGAAGCTTCCACACAAACCTGCACGTGTAGGCATATCAATATACAACTGGTGAGTCGGAGACTATAATATCAACGCTGAAATGTATCGTACGAAAAGCATCATCAATATCTGTTTAGCTTTTAAGGATTCTAAAAACTATGCTAAAAACGGAAACATATTGAGTGACCTATGAACGTTTCGCTTATGGCACTGATATTGGTTCAAAGAATAGCAAGATGGAGGGCACATCCGTATTCAGTAGATGGGTGTGTATTCGTTAACCTTCATTTACCGCTGAACAACAAACAAGTTATTTTGTGTAACAATATCAACACATTCCAAACCTTCGGACTGTCTGAAGTCGACGGCGGATGGCCTGACCCAGATGTTGATGAAGGACAGATAGCTGGACTGGACAGTCACGATGGTGCCTGTAGGTAGACGCACCTTGAACAAGACAACAGATATATCATATTAAGAATGTTGGTAATCAAAAAGAAAAGGCCTTGAGTCTCCGACGCTTAATCAGTAAACGTTTATCTTAAACTACGATTTGAGTCCAGATACTAGTAATTATACTTGCTGAGAGTTAGCAGTGGGAAAATAGTTTTGAGAAAACATCTTACATTTAAAGAATGTTGGTACGCACAATACATTAACATGTGACATAGATTATCAGACACACGGAAATATGTTTCATTCAACACCAAGTTGATCCCGGCTAGTGAATCTGCATGTATTAATGAAGGGCAGTGACACAACGCTAGAGGGGTGACACGTACTTCATATTTCCGACCACACCCAATTCTCCTGACTGTGGTTCCGGGAGTGAGGTCGCCGTTCTTGTACATTTCCACCGTGATGCTGGTTGTTTGATGGAAGAATCGACCAAAATAGGTCTGTCGGGTAGAACCATGGCATCCCGTGAACGTTATGACGTCATCTCCAGATTTGATTGCAACTGCGCAGTTGCAAGTAGGCCCCCTTGAGTTGTGAGAACTGCAGACTCGGTAACTTGTTCGGACCTGGAACAATAGTGTAAGTCAGCTTTGAAAAATCCTTCAAAATACAGTTGGGACGTCATTAAGATGATAGCAATGTTTCAATGGTAATGTATGTAACTGCACAAACTAGAATTTTGTAAATAAAAGACGATAAGTTAGCTTATATATAACATAGAATATTAAGGTTTATGTGATGAAACATTGACGGATTACCTCATACGGCAACGTTTTATGCTTGTACAATACAAATTCTCCACGTTGAAAGTTGTTGTAGTGTCTGCAATATATGACAAAATATATTTTTTTATTACCAAATGCATAACTCAATAACAATATATCACGTAATATGATACATTTGGTCGCCATTTCACATATGCAAATAGGTAGTTTTTAGATAAGGCAAGTGATGAATTCTTATAACTTACAGTCCATCGAACGTGGTGATGTGCGGGTCATTCAGGGAAGCACACTGGGCAGACTTGTCGGAATCCTTAGCTTTCACCTAATACAGACAATTATCAACATATATTAAGAGGTGATCAATTAATGTAAAATAGACCAAGGAAGTAAGAGACAAGTATCAGTTTGGTTGAATGCTTTACCGTGTATTTGGCTATCGTCTTATACATGGACTCCTTGAATGCCCCTGTTGTCTTTAGCTTGACCAATATATCCCGGGTCTGGTCATGATCATACAATCCATCAATGGTGGCTTTCATTGGAATCTGGATTATATTCTTCCAGTTTGATGCCGTCATGCCCGTGCCGCACACGTCAGCGGTGTTCCCGGACGACTGTATGACAATCTGGGGGAGGACGGCTTCCCGGGTACACATGTGATCTGACGGATGCTTCACCAGACTGGCGACCAGCTCTACCTTACAGCTTCCTTTGTCTGTGAACTTGCAGAAAAGTTGAGGAGGACAGTTGGATTTTAGCTCTATTTGCCTGACTTGCTGTCCTTCTGTTACAGTTAGGTGTGCCGTCGTTGATGTCAGAGACTGAAAAATAGGTTCTGAAAGTTTTGCCAGTTGTACGGAAAAAGACATATCAGAGCATAAAAGAATAAATTATGTAAAAACTGGACGTTTATGTGAACACAGATGATCCATGTAACATAGACGAGATGATTAAGGCAGTATTATATACACGTACTGTAATAGTGGGAATGAACGGTGTTTGGGAGGTGAGAAATTGTGTCCACTGCCATCCTGCCGTGAATTTGGCTCTGGCTTTGCAGATTATCTGTAAATCATACAAACATGAAAACGCTCAAAAATATATTCAGGTATGAACAGTTGAAACATTCAATCAAGAATCCATAACTGTAATTTCAGGACGTGAACCATAACTTGCCTCTTTGTCATACAGGTTATCCTTGACATTGTTGACCTCTGTGATGTAGAGTCTTCCCTCAGTGACAGGAGTCTGTACTTCTTTCATCACCTGAGGCACGCTATCAATGACCCACTGGAACTGGATCAGGACATTCCGAGTTGTGTAGGTGGACAGTCTACAGGCTAGGTATGTGCCGGTCGTGTCAACAATTGGTGTTACTGTCAGATCAACAGTAAATGACGGGATACCAATGTCTTGGGTTGTCCGTGGCTTTGTGGTCGTCGTTGTTGTAGCTGTCGTTGCTGGCGGATGTGTTGGAGGGAACGTCATCTTCGGTGATGTAGTTTTTGGTCTTGGTGTTGATGCTAAAAGTGTGACCATAAACAAGGCTTTTCAAACATATCATGTACAGTACCATGTAGATGTATAATGAACTTATGCATTCCCATAAAAACAATTATGCTACTCCTATTGAGCAGCAGAACTAAGGAACTGTTGCCCTCACAGGTATTCCTTTCGATTTTTGTCGGTTCATAACGTTCGGCAACAGTAATGATTTAACACGGCTGGTTGCATGTACAATCAGGGCCTAATAACTTAGTTATGAACAAAGTCTAGAACCATAGACGTTTATAATAGCACGCCATCTACAAAACATCCAGCTTTATCCATTTCATCATTTTATAGTACAACCAGAAATTATTGAGAATTTACAGATTGTAATTTTTATATTTTTTTCACTCATTACTCACATATTAAGTGTGAATATAAGCACAACATAACTCCAGATTCAAAGACAGGTGAACTGTTAGTATTTTGTCAAGTCACCATGGGCAGCAATGCAGGCTTCAATGCGGCGGGGCATACTACTGATCAAACAAGTTAGAAAGTCGTGGTCTATGCTGTCCCAATATCGAACCACCTCTTCTTTCAATTCAGCAATATTTGTCAGATTTTTCTTATTGGCACTTTCCTTCATAAGTCCCCAAACATTTTCTATTGGATTTAGGTCAGGGCTATAGCTTGGCCAATCTAATAATGTCATATTTTGGGTCCGAAACCAGGCCTGTGAATGCTTTGAACGATGTTTTTGGGTCGTTGTCCTGGTGGGAAATCCAAACAATTCCATAGAACACGTGAGCAGATGGAACTAAATGTCCCTCGAGAATATCTGTGTACCGCTCACTGTTCATATTCCCTTCAAATACACAGAGGGGCCTTGTCCCTAACATAGATATGCCACGTTAAATTTCGGACTGTACTTTTGGCGCTGATACAGACAGCCACAGTTCCTCTATCAATCATATCAAGCCTTAAGTTTTCTAAACTCCTTCGTTTGTTTTTAGAAACAAGAATACCAAGCTGCCTCCTGTCACCGACAGTCAGTCAATTTTCTGGGCCTACCTGTGCCTCCCTGGTGCTCAATGCCATATCCATTTGCAATATTTTTCAAAACACGATAAACAGTGGACAAAGGGATGCCTGTTCTACTTGAAATCACTTTAGCTGATCGGATGTCCTTGTTATAATACTCTAAAATCAACTTCCTCTTCTCTACATCATTCATATTGAGGATCAATGAAAATGTTGTCTGCTAGCAAGTAAACAAAGGGGGATAACTCTTCACAAACTAATGAAAAGGGGATTTACGGAGTTGTCTCTCTTGAATGAAACCAAGCACTTGATAGCTGGTCAAGGTTGTTTATACTAGAAATCCAATTAAACATATTCCTAAAATTCTCAAACTTTTCTGGTCATACTATACTTCCTTACACAGGTTGATATCTCAGCCTGAGCCCCCACTGGGTACATGCATTCTCATTGTGTCACTCAACTGCCGCTTACTTCTACGGAGATTTTATACCTAAGTAAAGGGTAAATACTTGGTACTGGTGTTAACAATGTAGAAAGATCTACCAACCTAGTGAGATGCAGCCGACAGGACAGATGCCTGGCGAGGATGTAACTGCTGGGGTGCTTGTCACTGTAACACAACAAATTGGTACAAGTTCACGCCGAGAACAATTAGATAAATATTAATAATACTTTAGGTTTAAATCTAAAAAGAGAAATACAATGCAATAGGACATGTCGACTCATTTGCATAGCTTTTGTCTAGGACTGACGAGTAAAGCACTCTATCCTTTCTTACACATAACTATTACTGTTACAGGACAACCAAGTTCTATGGATAGTCAACTTCTTTATTCCAATGGTTGTCGACGTTTCGGTGTAGGTACTAACACCGTTGTCAAGCGACGTTTCGGTGTAGGTATTAACACCGTTGTCAAGCCACGTTTCGGTGTAGGCACTAACACCGTTGTCAAGCGACGTTTCGGTGTAGGCACTAAGACCGTTGTCAAGCGACGTTTCGGTGTAGGTACTAACACCGTTGTCAAGCACTTGCACTCATTACAATAAAGAAGTTGACTATCCATAGAACTTGGTTGTCGACGTTTCGGTGTAGGTACTAACACCGTTATCAAGCACTCGCACCCATTACAATAAAGACGTTGACTATCTCTAGAACTTGGTTGTCCTTCATCTATACAACTTCTAAAATGCCTCTCAAAGAAGTTATATTACTGTTTGTCATACTCACACTGTGAGGCAAGGTCGATGGCCTGGTACCAAATGTGTATGGCTTTGAGGATACATTGAAGGTGATGTCCTGTTGTTGCTGTTGTGAAGGACTTTCCGAAATAGAATACGTTCTTCATTTCACCAGACGTATCCGGGTGGCTGACATATTTCATTGTCGATGCTACAAGTTCTCTATTGATGTAGACTTTGAGGGACTCTTTAAAGTATATGTAAATGACATGTGTGGTACCGAGTTTGATGTGATCTCTAGGTATGGAAACAAACCATGCTTTGACAGGGGAGGAGACGATCACATGGAAATGGCCGTACCTATACAACATCGAGACGCCAGGGAGATCGGGTGCCTCTCCACCGGTTGTGAAGACAACCGTATTCTCGATGAGCGTTGTAAAAACCATCTCTACAGATATTGTCAACCCATGTCTGCATTTTGTAATGTCTGTAAGGCAGCTCTTAGCCAGATGTTGTATCTCTAAGTATTGCCTGTCTGTCGTGAACACCAAACCTGAAGAGTGACCTTCAACACCGCCATGGATGATTAATTGGAGGTAGCTGGAAGTTAGGTACTTGGACGTCACGTTTTCAAACCTCCAAATGAATTCAGGTAGAGGTGGTGAAGTAGGCGGGAACAGAGTCGTTGTAGAAATAGTTGTCAGAGCAGCTGCATTGTCAGACAATAGACTCATATTAATATTATAGAAACAACCTTAATGTCCATCTTTCATTCGAGCAGATTTCAGCACAGCTAAACTCTAAAAATATTTAGCGACATTTATGGTTAACGTTATACATGTATATTGAAAGCCATAATTTATTCACAGGAGCAATATTTCGTTTGGTCCTTATTTTATCTCAAAGCTTTTAAGTGTTTGCTTCTATAAATAACATAAATAAATTATTTAATCTCTCTCAAACAGTTCAAGATCCCAAAGATGTACATTTTATAAGACATCTGTTTTATACCGTGTTTTTAAATAATTTACTTACGCTTGAGAATTCCCAGTTTAACAAGCTCCATCCTTGTTGCGTTGAACAACTTGAAGTCGGTGATAATCATGGGAGTGGTCTTGTTTACATTTGCAGCTTTACCAATCAAAAATGATGAAGGAACTTTAGTGGCACTGACGAATGCTGGTAGCGACTGTGTCAGTTGAGTTACATGTTCATTCACATACAACTTATAGCCAGATGTTTGGGACCAACTTATGTGGAATGTGTATGGGACGTTGACCTCAAGTTCGTATGGTATGTTGATGGGCCATTTATGCTGACCGGATGCAACGACCCCCTTCAAATGTCCACGTTCATAAAAGAGATTTACGCCTGTATATTCAGGTTTGTCTTGGCCATTGTAGACGATATACATTCGCCCTGTCGTGTCAATGTTGGTGAATGTGGACACAAGCTGCACAGTAAAGCCGGCGGTACAATGAACAAGGTCAGAGAAACAAGGGAGGCACCGTGTTTCAATTTCCACGTACTGTCCAGGATGACTTACATCCAAGGATAGCATATCGTTTGTCTTGATAACTGTAGGATTTCCATGAGCTATGATGACCATGTCCTTTGTCGTTAGGCGGTGTCCAGTTACACTTAAGAAGGACATGTCGATGGTCATATTTGTCCAGCTAACAGGCTTGCCATTGCAGGTTTCTATTGGACCTGAAAAACAGGAGGATTCCTTTGAGAAAGATTCACTTGTAGAATATATGTTGATTATAAATCATTGTAGGTTAGCTGAAGACGCAGTTATTTTCGTATTCAGTGGGTCATAATAGTAACATAGCATACAGTATGAGGACATATATGACAATGGCTCGTATAGTTCACCAACAATGGCATTCACTTAAGTACATATTGGTTAAACACAAATCAGCATTATAGTAAATGCATTTACTTATTCAGATGAAGTTAAACGCATATGTGAATTTATGTATAAACATTCACTGGGCTGTCCACATATGGTTTATCGTTTAAACCGCTCGTTCAATTACACATTCGCTGAAGAACATATAGGTCAATCAAATATTTAAATTATAGTTTATATACATAAACCCAGTAGGTTAACCACATATGGTCATTATTGCATATACGTTCACTTAAGTGCGTGTAGTTATACCACAGATATGCATTATTAGATTACCTTTATTTATGAAGAAGTAGTTAAATGACATATATAAATAATAGTTTATGCCTTCAGTTAAAATGCATACAACTTCTGTCATTACTGTATAGACATTCACCGAGGTGCATGTAGGTAACCATATAGGGGCTTTATTGGACATATTTCACTCAAGTGCTTATCATTCAAGCACATACTAGCATCGCTATATACACACTTGCCATACATACATTCGCCTTAGTACATGGGGATACACCAGACATGTTATAACATTATATATAGCATTATAACTATATTTACACTATAAGGTAAACATGCAATTAAGTTGGATGCCAGCACACGTGTATTATTAGCTGTTCTTACATTTAAGTCTGTAAAAGGTATAATATAACATATTTATCAAAGCACTTTATGAACATATACATGTATACGGTGATAAAAATAGCATTATCATTTTACGTTACATATAGCGACGTGTACAAAAAACATATATACATACTTCAGCTTGACACAGCTTGGGCATAGTTGGACACAGCACACAGCACACAGCACATGAGGACACATTTACCTCACGACTAGTGCTAAGCAACGCATACAGAAATACTATATCTAAATTTACAATCATGTTACACGTCATATTTCCTGAATAAACCTTGTTTTATTTTCAGATAGCAATATATCTCTCATTATACGCTGGCACAAATTTGTACATACATCAACAACATTGTTTCTCATGATGTGAGAGTGAGGACAACTTCAACTAGTATCGGGTAGAGAGACAATTATCTTTGCCATTACGTCTTAATGAACATGAATACAAGACAGAGATTGACACTGGTTACACATCATCGCATGTGCGGCTAGAAAATCATTTGAATAAAACACCAAAGAGAGTTCACACACGCTGTCCTAGCGCATTCCACCAAGCAGTTACGGCAAGATGCCACACACAGAGGCACAAGTAAAGTGAGAGAAAAATAAATATTACTTGGAAGAATGCCTCTTGCGGCAAGAATGGTCCTGGTTGTCGTCCATGAGTGGATATTGGTAACAAGGAACCGGCCCTGACTCCCTCCTATTCTAATATCGGAAGCAGGTACTGTTGTCGTTAAGTTTGGAGAGACTGTAACAGGAATCTGCTGCACAGCCAGAAGTACGTTGTTCACATACAGCTTAGCCCCTTCAGAGTTACTCCACGATATCTGGTAAGTATTAAACTTGTCCATGACAATTGTGTACACTGTCGAGATCATCCATTTCTCGTGCCCTAGTGTCACTATGACAAACAGGGTGCTCTCCTTATAGAACATGGAAATTAAAGATGGATTACCATTTCCGCTAGAGATAAAATTTGTTAAATTTAGAGGTAGTATCATTTTTACCTCAATGTCAATTTGAAATGTAAATCCTGCAATGCAGCCTTTTGGCTCGGAAGAACAGGGAACAATTTCCTGAGGTATGCCTAGCCACTGGTTACGTCCATTAAGATAAAGATACGTTAAGTTGTCATGATTCAAAAGTGATACATTTCCATATACAGTCATGTTCAAACTGTTAGTGGTTATAACATTCCCAAATATCCCTGTAAAAGTTAAGTCATGTGATTTTATATTTGTCTCAATCACTGGCGTCGACTCTGACGTTGTTGCTGCAGGATGTTCTGTAACGACCAAAAAAGGGACATTAGTCTGATACCATTAATCATAAAGATTACACTTACTCGAAGAGTAAATGTGATCATAGCAAAATACGTTGTAAAGATATATTACATATGAACAACATAACATCACAAAAATGTATACAAAAAAGAATTAATTTAGCATGGATGGAGCAGACGCATCGGCGAGTTCCAGGGACATATATGGGAGTAAAAGATTCTGCGAATTTAATCAAAACGACATTAACAGGGGCAATTACTATAAGTGTTTGCGTTACAAAGTGTGATATAATAGTACCAGGTAATAGTATCAAAGGTATTAGTAAAGGTGAATACTTACGCTTCAAAGAAGTCTGTTTGTTGTCCGTTTCCTTCCTTTCATTCCATACTTCAATTTGAGAAATTTGAAGATGCATACTTGCTACATTCTCAACCTCTCCTATCACCAATGGCTGTAGAGTGTTAGCAGTAGCATTCGTCTGAGTTGAAGTGACTGACTCTGTCAAGACGACTCCATCAACGACAAGCTGGATTCCTTTCTGCCTACTCCAGACAAGTTGGTATACATGTGACTGCTTGGTGGTAATACTGTAATTGGTCGAAACTGACCAAATGGTCTTCCCCACGTGAATGATGGCATGAAGCTGCGTTCCTTGGTAATACAGGAGGAGTGGCGATGTAGCATGGCTATTGCCGGCTCGAAGCAAATAAATCGTGGCCATGTTCTTCATTTCTACAATCATTATTTCCACTTGTGCTGTGATGCCATTGGAACAGGTATTCATGTCTGAGAGACAAGCAACCTTTTCCACATTCATTTCAATCCACTGCTTCGGCCCTGTAATGCTGATGACCTTTCCTTTGCCTTGTTGCCCCTCCACCAGACTGACTTTTCCGTGAAGTGTCAGGTTATAATCCGTCGTAACAAGGATATTGCCAATAACGCTGGTAAATAGGAATTGGTGATGGACTGGAGGGATCGTTTCGCCTGTAGTCGTTACTGACGTGGCTTTGGGAGTTGGCAGTCCTGAAACTAGACCTGTATCCAAAGTCGTAATTGAGCTCTTTCTTGCTGTTGTTTCCGTTGCTGTCTCTGTCAAAAAAACATATTCAGGACTGTTTCAATTGAGTTACACCACAGTTAGTTACAAGAGTAAAAGTTTTGCTCAGCCAGTTTGTGACTGGAACAGGCATTTAAGTGGAATGGCAAAATGATAATTATCACTTTAGAAATCACAACTCCTAGTAAAGGTGAATACTTACGCTTCAAAGAAGTCTGTTTGTTGTCCGTTTCCTTCCTTTCATTCCATACTTCAATTTGAGAAATTTGAAGATGCATACTTGCTACATTCTCAACCTCTCCTATCACCAATGGCTGTAGAGTGTTAGCAGTAGCATTCGTCTGAGTTGAAGTGACTGACTCTGTCAAGACGACTCCATCAACGACAAGCTGGATTCCTTTCTGCCTACTCCAGACAAGTTGGTATACATGTGACTGCTTGGTGGTAATACTGTAATTGGTCGAAACTGACCAAATGGTCTTCCCCACGTGAATGATGGCATGAAGCTGCGTTCCTTGGTAATACAGGAGGAGTGGCGATGTAGCATGGCTATTGCCGGCTCGAAGCAAATAAATCGTGGCCATGTTCTTCATTTCTACAATCATTATTTCCACTTGTGCTGTGATGCCATTGGAACAGGTATTCATGTCTGAGAGACAAGCAACCTTTTCCACATTCATTTCAATCCACTGCTTCGGCCCTGTAATGCTGATGACCTTTCCTTTGCCTTGTTGCCCCTCCACCAGACTGACTTTTCCGTGAAGTGTCAGGTTATAATCCGTCGTAACAAGGATATTGCCAATAACGCTGGTAAATAGGAATTGGTGATGGACTGGAGGGATCGTTTCGCCTGTAGTCGTTACTGACGTGGCTTTGGGAGTTGGCAGTCCTGAAACTAGACCTGTATCCAAAGTCGTAATTGAGCTCTTTCTTGCTGTTGTTTCCGTTGCTGTCTCTGTCAAAAAAACATATTCAGGACTGTTTCAATTGAGTTACACCACAGTTAGTTACAAGAGTAAAAGTTTTGCTCAGCCAGTTTGTGACTGGAACAGGCATTTAAGTGGAATGGCAAAATGATAATTATCGCTTTAGAAATCACAGGTCCTAGTAAAGCTGAATACTTACGCTTCAAAGAAGTCTGTTTGTTGTCCGTTTCCTTCCTTTTATTCCATACTTCAATTTGAGATATTTGAAGATGCATACTTGCTACATTCTCAACCTCTCCTATCACCAATGGCTGTAGAGTGTTAGCAGTAGCATTCGTCTGAGTTGAAGTGACTAACTCTGTCAAGACGACTCCATCAACGACAAGCTGGATTCCTTTCTGCCTACTCCAGACAAGTTGGTATACATGTGATTGCTTGGTGGTAATACTGTAATTGGTCGAAACTGACCAGATGGTCTTCCCCACGTGAATGGTGGCATGAAGCTGCGTTCCTTGGTAATACAGGAGGAGTGGCGATGTAGCATGGCTATTGCCGGCTCGAAGCAAATAAATCGTGGCCATGTTCTTCATTTCTACAATCATTATTTCCACTTGTGCTGTGATGCCATTGGAACAGGTATTCATGTCTGAGAGACAAGCAACCTTTTCCACATTCATTTCAATCCACTGCTTCGGCCCTGTAATGCTGATGACCTTTCCTTTGCCTTGTTGCCCCTCCACCAGACTGACTTTTCCGTGAAGTGTCAGGTTATAATCCGTCGTAACAAGGATATTGCCAATAACGCTGGTAAATAGGAATTGGTGATGGACTGGAGGGATCGTTTCGCCTGTAGTCGTTACTGACGTGGCTTTGGGAGTTGGCAGTCCTGAAACTAGACCTGTATCCAAAGTCGTAATTGAGCTCTTTCTTGCTGTTGTTTCCGTTGCTGTCTCTGTCAAAAACAATTCAGGACTGTTTCAATTGAGTTACACCACAGTTAGTTACAAGAGTAAAAGTTTAGCTCAGCCAGTTTGTGACTGGAACAGGCATTTAAGTGGAATGGCAAAATGATAATTATCACTTTAGAAATCACAAGTCCTAGTAAAGGGAATACTTACGCTTCAAAGAAGTCTGTTTGTTGTCCGTTTCCTTCCTTTTCATTCCATACTTCAATTTGAGAAATTTGAAGATGCATACTTGCTACATTCTCAACCTCTCCTATTACCAATGGCTGTAGAGTGTTAGCAGTAGCATTCGTCTGAGTTGAAGTGACTGACTCTGTCAAGACGACTCCATCAACGACAAGCTGGATTCCTTTCTGCCTACTCCAGACAAGTTGGTATACATGTGACTGCTTGGTGGTAATACTGTAATTGGTCGAAACTGACCAAATGGTCTTCCCCACGTGAATGATGGCATGAAGCTGCGTTCCTTGGTAATACAGGAGGAGTGGCGATGTAGCATGGCTATTGCCGGCTCGAAGCAAATAAATCGTGGCCATGTTCTTCATTTCTACAATCATTATTTCCACTTGTGCTGTGATGCCATTGGAACAGGTATTCATGTCTGAGAGACAAGCAACCTTTTCCACATTCATTTCAATCCACTGCTTCGGCCCTGTAATGCTGATGACCTTTCCTTTGCCTTGTTGCCCCTCCACCAGACTGACTTTTCCGTGAAGTGTCAGGTTATAATCCGTCGTAACAAGGATATTGCCAATAACGCTGGTAAATAGGAATTGGTGATGGACTGGAGGGATCGTTTCGCCTGTAGTCGTTACTGACGTGGCTTTGGGAGTTGGCAGTCCTGAAACTAGACCTGTATCCAAAGTCGTAATTGAGCTCTTTCTTGCTGTTGTTTCCGTTGCTGTCTCTGTCAAAAAACAAATTCAGGACTGTTTTAATTGAGTTACACCACAGTTAGTTACAAGAGTAAAAGCTTAGCTCAGCCAGTTTGTGACTGGAACAGGCATTTAAGTGGAATGGCAAAATGATAATTATCACTTTAGAAATCACAAGTCCTAGTAAAGGGGAATACTTACGCTTCAAAGAAGTCTGTTTGTTGTCCGTTTCCTTCATTTCATTCCATACTTCAATTTGAGAAATTTGAAGATGCATACTTGCTACATTCTCAACCTCTCCTATCACCAATGGCTGTAGAGTGTTAGCAGTAGCATTCGTCTGAGTTGAAGTGACTGACTCTGTCAAGACGACTCCATCAACGACAAGCTGGATTCCTTTCTGCCTACTCCAGACAAGTTGGTATACATGTGACTGCTTGGTGGTAATACTGTAATTGGTCGAAACTGACCAAATGGTCTTCCCCACGTGAATGATGGCATGAAGCTGCGTTCCTTGGTAATACAGGAGGAGTGGCGATGTAGCATGGCTATTGCCGGCTCGAAGCAAATAAATCGTGGCCATGTTCTTCATTTCTACAATCATTATTTCCACTTGTGCTGTGATGCCATTGGAACAGGTATTCATGTCTGAGAGACAAGCAACCTTTTCCACATTCATTTCAATCCACTGCTTCGGCCCTGTAATGCTGATGACCTTTCCTTTGCCTTGTTGCCCCTCCACCAGACTGACTTTTCCGTGAAGTGTCAGGTTATAATCCGTCGTAACAAGGATATTGCCAATAACGCTGGTAAATAGGAATTGGTGATGGACTGGAGGATCGTTTCGCCTGTAGTCGTTACTGACGTGGCTTTGGGAGTTGGCAGTCCTGAAACTAGACCTGTATCCAAAGTCGTAATTGAGCTCTTTCTTGCTGTTGTTTCCGTTGCTGTCTCTGTCAAAAACAAATTCAGGACTGTTTTAATTGAGTTACACCACAGTTAGTTACAAGAGTAAAAGCTTAGCTCAGCCAGTTTGTGACTGGAACAGGCATTTAAGTGGAATGGCAAAATGATAATTATCACTTTAGAAATCACAAGTCCTAGTAAAGGGAATACTTACGCTTCAAAGAAGTCTGTTTGTTGTCCGTTTCCTTCATTTCATTCCATACTTCAATTTGAGAAATTTGAAGATGCATACTTGCTACATTCTCAACCTCTCCTATCACCAATGGCTGTAGAGTGTTAGCAGTAGCATTCGTCTGAGTTGAAGTGACTGACTCTGTCAAGACGACTCCATCAACGACAAGCTGGATTCCTTTCTGCCTACTCCAGACAAGTTGGTATACATGTGACTGCTTGGTGGTAATACTGTAATTGGTCGAAACTGACCAAATGGTCTTCCCACGTGAATGATGGCATGAAGCTGCGTTCCTTGGTAATACAGGAGGAGTGGCGATGTAGCATGGCTATTGCCGGCTCGAAGCAAATAAATCGTGGCCATGTTCTTCATTTCTACAATCATTATTTCCACTTGTGCTGTGATGCCATTGGAACAGGTATTCATGTCTGAGAGACAAGCAACCTTTTCCACATTCATTTCAATCCACTGCTTCGGCCCTGTAATACTGATGACCTTTCCTTTGCCTTGTTGCCCCTCCACCAGACTGACTTTTCCGTGAAGTGTCAGGTTATAATCCGTCGTAACAAGGATATTGCCAATAACGCTGGTAAATAGGAATTGGTGATGGACTGGAGGGATCGTTTCGCCTGTAGTCGTTACTGACGTGGCTTTGGGAGTTGGCAGTCCTGAAACTAGGCCTGTATCCAAAGTCGTAATTGAGCTCTTTGTTTTGGTTTATTTACTTTTGATATGTCGGGTCAACAATCAGATTAGTTGTAAAGAAGGTTGTCCTAGTACGTTAGGTCAATCAATGTTTGCGTTTTATGTTTTCACGAGTATGTGCTTCTACTGTTGGGTGTTGACTAGCAGTACAAAGGTATCAGGATTCGAACGGATTCGAACGGGACTGTTACGATTGAGCCAAATAATGACAATGAAATGATTTCATAATTCATCAAGTCAGATTTGGTTATCTGGGTGATTTTTTGTCACATTATTTTAACTGGCGCTGTTGCACGGACTACGGACATTATTTTCAAGAAACAACAGGCCTCCACGCAATATTGTTTTTTGACTGCTTCATCAAGACACACAATTGGACCTTCCACTTTTGTAAAGCAGTCATAGATACAATACACGCAAATAGGCTTATTACCTGTAGCATGTAAAGGTTGCATGCATACAAACATAGAAACACGCACGGACGCACACACGCGCACGCACGCACGCACGCGCGCACACACCCTCACATACATTGTAAATAAATTTGAGGAAACCGAAGATGGGATACTATCTAGCACTTCAGATTTACTCAAGCATTCATTTTAGTTAGAAACTGGTATGGTCAGATACAGACATAGGCAGCAGGTACAATTACATAGCTTATACATACCTGTCGTTGGAGTAACATCCGGTATTGAAAGTTCTGAAGTGTAACATGAAATGAAATATGGTGAATTTATACATGCTTTTCTAAGGAACCAGGGTTGTAAATATTTACGTACAGTTGAGAGTGTATTACCTTCCAGTCGCATTAAGAATAAATCATAGAATATCCAGTGAACTGCATAATTTAATCATATCCAATTTCTACTGTGACAGTTTAAACTCTGCCAGTTTGATTGTTACACAGGGCGTACAAAGTCTTCGTTCGACCGCTGTCTTGCCTTTAACTGCATTTCCACGACAAAAAACCCAATACTTCTTTCGCAAAACATCCGGGTTAGAATCGGGTTTTTTGCAAACCATGCTTGTCGTCAGAGGTGACTAAAGGGATCGGGAGGTCAAGCTTTCTGGCTTGGATGATGCACGTCATCGTTTTCCAAATGCACATATAGAAACTCATGATAACAATCACTGGATTGTCTGGTCCAAAATCGATTATTTACATTCCACCGTCATACACATGGAATGTTGCTGGGTACGGCGTCAAACAACAGAGAGACAAATCTCCTTAACAAAACTGCAGATTTATCAATCTTCGATCTTTCTTTAGTAACGTTACTAACGTTACATTATTACAACAAGGGTGGACAACTTTCCTCGGTGAAATACTTAATGATTACTTTGGGAGTGTATTGTAACAGCTTTCAATGACATAAACAGGCTTTATCTTTGGTTCAAATCTATTATGCTCTGTGATGCCATGTCTTTCCCGGCACAACGCCACACTTTCCCATTTTTGGACATTATGGTGCCATGTAAGTGGTTGGTACTTGAGAACAAAGAGTTACGAAGGCTGCTGCATTAGCTCAAGTGAGAACACTTTGTATGGTGCGTAAGAATATCTGTCTTGGAGCGAACTGGTCCAAATACAACATTACTCATCCAAATACAAATATTATGGTGTGGCTAAGTAAAGACATATGCTGATAAACATCGATAGCCGCTGATCCCTTTCATCTTTTGAGCATATTAGACCAGTTCTACTTCAGTAATCTGCTATAACCAAAGCGTACACGTTTGACGTTTCCATTGTGGCATGGCAGAATGGAAATGAAATGGTGTGTTTTATATTAGCTGCTACGAACCTTTCCCTATCGAGACCTTACGTATCGCTTTGGGTTGCAAATAGAATTTACACCTCCTACACAATCTACAACATGTTACCGTTACAACGTTATTTGTTTTGAAATGTTAAAATTAGGGAAAGTACTTTATATTGCAGCAGTATCATGTCCGGAGATATGGGTTTCACACATTGCATCAGTGTACTGGAAATCGGGTATGAGACGAATGAATATCCGAAACATGTCAGTACAAGACTCATGTGTGACTGACTTTACCTTCGGTACAGTTGTTTTCTGCCAATTCTTTCAGACTTTCTGTCCACATTCTGAAAAGCAGGAGCTTTATGTGGGATGTTTGATTCTTGTCCCATGATTTGCCAATGAGAAGAGAGTGTGTCATGGTCGTCTCGGGGGCAGTAGTTTTCGGCAAAGGTGTATTCTTCAGTGCTCTGCCATTCAGGTGCACGGATGTCTCTTCACTTGTCTTATCCCACGACGCATCCAGAGTGTACCAGGTAGCAAGTTTCATATTCACTGAGAATATAGATTTTCCAACAGATTTTCCATTCTTAACCCAAAAGCTGAGTCTGCCATTGTAGTAGTATAACGCAACGCCACTGGAGTCCACAACTTCCCCACCGCTAGATATGATGTAATTAGGTTGTCTATCTATCTTAATGAACTGGAAAGTCAATCTGAAGTTAAAACTTGAGGAACATGTTGTGAGGTCATCAAGACAGGGTACCCCCGTCTTCAACATATCAATGTATTGTCCTGGCCCATCCAAAACTAAAAGAGTTCCTTCCTTTGACTGCTCAAGACGGGCGTCTCCATGAACCTTCATTGTACTCAGCGACGTCACGAGGTCAGTACCATTGATTCTAGTGAACGTTATGTCAGTGAATGAGGCGTTGCAAGACGAAGGTTCTGGTTTGGCGGTCGTAGCGGGTGGTATGACTGGTGTTGGAGTGGGATTCTTTTCCTCTGCGAATATAATGAACAAATAATCGGTTGAACTAAATGATCCAATATCATTCATGCAGTATATGCTCATATCATATATATACATTATAAGTTGTTCACTGGTCACGAGGGGGACATGGGCTGATGTACCCTCGATGTTTGTTTATGTAAACAAACACCGAGGGTACATCAACCCATGCGCCCCGAGGGACCAGTGAACAACGTACTTATCTTACCGAACACCGTAATGTTAATTTTGAATTGTTTGAAGCACGGGTACAAATCTTTTTGTAGACATCGCTAGATTTTGCTGACAAGAAAAACAGATTTAGAGTTATCTCCCTTCCATCGATTTGCATTCGCAAAACATCGGTAATTTCCGTATATTATACGTGATTCAATGTAATTCGTGTTAAAGAATTACTACCACGAAGTACCAAATGAGTTGCCATTGACAGCAGGGTACATTGAAATGTTACTCGCTTGTAAGCGGGGTACATTGAAAATAATAGAAGAGCGCTCAACCAATCAGAAAGCGACATTTATGTGTGAGGTAAGATAATATATATGCTCATAGTTCTGCAACATCGCAGTATGGCACAGATGACACTGATGTGATGTTAAATGTTAATTCACTCATAGTTCTAACGTTATTATCCCATCTTACACCAGCTGGTTACCGAGTAATTCAAAAGAGCATTTCGGTTATCACACTAGTTAACTCTTAAGAATTTTTATTGTTTTATACCAGGATGTGGAAAACGACAGTTTTTGCTGAAACAGGTACAATAATTAGTTTACTGAAATGTTAGAACATGCAAAAAGGGGAACTACTGAGGTTTGCATCAAGGCATTAAACATTCCTCTTTTCTACGCGAGCAATACATATTAGAATGGTGATGAATCTTGTGGCTGGTCGCCACACAGTAAACGATAAATACCTAACAATCCAGCTCTGATCAGATCTTGGCGGACGCTGAAGAAGATATGGATCTGTTTAATCCAGTATATGAATGTCGCAGTGGTAGGCACAGTCGTGTACCCGTTGCCTATCCATAGGAGATGCTTGGCGAAAGTGGGCGATTTGCCAACTGTAGCAACACTTCCTCCAATGTCAACTCCATCCACATGAAGATGTAGACCATGGAAGCTGCTCCAAGAGAGATCAATCTTGTACCAGGTTTCAAGTGTTAAGTGATGCCTTACACTGATTGTCCACACCCCTTTTGATGTCCCCACGGAGCAGATGAAACTACCGTTTGTATACGACATGTAAACACCAGTGGCGCCGTTCCCAGTTCCCAGGATCGGCATCTCCTTGGTTACAGTACGGAGGTTGATGTTGAAGCTGTATGTGAAGCCTGTGTTGCAGTTGTCGAGGTCCTGGACACAGGGATCAGTCTGAGGTATTTCCACATAGCCCTGATTGCTCAAAATAAGGAATGTCTCTGACTGCTGTGTGTTGACGTTCACCGTGCCTTGGATTGTCAGATTTAGATGTGTTGTTGTAATAATGTCCTTAATCATTTCAATAACCTTATAGTTGTAATTGGGAATTTCTGATTCTGAAGAAGAAAAGAAATATTACAGATATTACGATTTGGCTTGAGCGTGTGGATGCATATTTGAGATAATGACACAAATTACTGGTTTCACTATGTCGTTTGTTTGATAATGAATGCAAACTATTTGCATGCATAATTCTATGTAGGTCTTTGTGTTTATGACTTCATGAATCAATTTGTTAAGTGGCTTGTAATTCGATCTCTTTTTCTTCAACCTGTAAAATCTAAACATGTCTGTAATGACATCTGTGCAGGACCAATGAGAATTAGGGCAACGGTTTTATTTTCTGTGTTTCTCATCGCCCGACCGACCCCAATGTTATTGCCGATCCCCCCAAAAACACTGTATTTTCCATTCCAACACCGTCGACTCGAACCTAGAACGTACCGACTCGTCATATAGAATGTTACCACACAGACAAAAATCAGAGTTATGTCCCTTCACAACTGACTGGCTATGGCTGGCATAGCAGACGAAAACGAAAACAAACATCTGGTCTCATTTATAGTATCACCTTCATATCCCTTTTGGAGTGGGAGTAGTGTCATCTTAATTTTATAACCTTTTAAAATCTAAGAACTGTATAAACTCATTCAAGCACTAAATTAAGTCATTAAGACTGTGTCAGCTTCCCATGTATTTGAGCCCTGGCTGTCTAATTGGTGTCTATCTGTCCAACTCTAACTTTATACAGAATAATTGAAAGACATTGAAAACGATGTATCTTGAATTTAATTCCAAACCTTTCTATCGATATCGGTTGATCTACAATAGTTTTAATTATTTAATATTTTATCAATAGGAGTTATCTAAGATATTTAGGGTGAGTTTATCACTAACACAATTGTTTATCTTTTTCTCAGTCGTGGCCACATTTGGAAGTCCAGAGAACGTGAGAAGTTGTAATAAAAATTACAATAAATGAGAATCAAGAACACTATTCAGATAATTTTGTCTGTTTTTATTACCATTATTGTTTTGGGGGGATTTTTTCCCGACCGACCGACCCATGTTCAGAATTTGGTGGCTACGTGAAACACACAAACAAAATTATGCCCTTACATTCATTCGTACATACGAAATTCTAGATGTGCAAAAAAGGATTGAACAGAATTTAGCAGCACACTTGACAGTTTGGCAATTAAGTTTCCAAGGATACGATATTGTGTACATGAACTAAGGCAGATTTTAGTTTCAGTACAGATGGCGAAGAGCACGCCGTGCGATCTATGTATATATTCTAATGTGACACGGCACTTTGATGCAAGGCATCATCATGGTTAACATGCAATTGTTTGTTCGTCAAGTAAAATTTATAAGTAAGTTCTTTTCCCAGTTTTATAAACATCCATGTCCTGTTCCACGTAATAACTTTAACTGCTAAGATATTATCTCCGTCACATACCAATAGCCTATCCATGTACCTTCTGGCCATCATCACAGACATCTGTTACAAACAGACCTGGGCCCAGATTTTCGAAGCTCTCTTAGCGCTACGATAGTCGTAAGTGGCCAAAGGTGCCATAGTCGTAAGTGCCATACATAAACATTAACTTATCGCTAAGAGAGCTTCGAAAATCTGGGCCCAGGTCTGTTTGTAACAGATGTCTGTATGATGGCCAGAAGGTACATGGATAGGCTATTGGTATGTGATAAAATCTTAGCAATATTCTAGGCCAGGTCCGTGGAATGACATGTCTCAAAGGGTGCTGCTGCCGCTGCTAACTGACGTGCAACATTGACAGCCGCGTACATTCACACACGGGAGACATGTTATTCACGTGTGCTCAAGAGTTCAAGAACGTTTAAAATAGTATCGTATGTCGTAAAGAATAGAATTATTGTTCTTTTCATTACATCAGAAAATCGGCAATAACGACCGCTTTGGAAGCTTATTATATCTGATGTTGCTGTTTTGTGTTTTTTCTGTATCACTGTTATTAAACTTATTGAAACGGCATGTCCTTATTGTATTCTAGATTTAATCGCATAATCACTCTGAAAAACTTGATACACCAAAGCTTGATCAAAAACCTAAACATATGCATTTGCTAGTGAGGGGGCACACATCATTATTCTGTTCAAACTTGAGATTTGTAACTTTGTACAAAACATACGGAGCATTTTTCAGTATGAAGTGACATACTTACTTTTTAACTGACACTGTATCCCGTAGTAATTATCTTTACATTTGCAGACATTTGTCCCAATGCAGTAACCACCGTTATGGCAAACATTAGGCTGACACAAAACTGCAAAACAGGAAAGCAATAAATGAACCAGCGTCTTGATGCAACACATATACAGGTTCCTTGAATGATAACGAGACTGATATGCCTAGCATTACAAATAGGGGATATTAACAAAGAGGGGATATTAACGTATGTCTGAAGACAACATGAAGTAATAAATCACGTAAGTCACGCTATAACAGGAATTGTACGAACACCTTCTGGGTTACAGCCGACTAGCTCCAGACGCATACAGGGCCTCCCCACGAAGTCAGTCACAAAAACTGGACAGTGTCCGTCACCACAACTGGCTTCAACGTCACGGAATATGAAACGGTGGCATTGTGTGTTACTGGAATGTGCTGAAAGCAGAAATATATACAATCTTAATACTGTTGCGCATGACATTCTTTGCAAAAGTTTGTAAATGGAGATATCTTTGTCACTGGAAGAACAGCAACACCCGTAAAATAACAAAACAATAGAAGGGAGGCAACTCGTTCCTGAATTGTAATTCAACACGTCTACCTTGGCATTTTATGTCGCTTCAGACTGTTTCGTCATTTTGTTCTCGAAAGTGTCAAAGTTTTTCTTGTGAAGCCTAACAATAGTGATATTCTTGAAACAATACATGGGGTGAATACACCAACAGCACGATATAAGTATGTCACAGGTAGCCACATATATATGTGCAGTGGTATACTTAGGACATGAAAAGACTTCCGGACAACCGTAACGGTTCTGTCATCTTGGGACAATAGGGCAGCAGGGATGTTTATACAATAATCACTTAATATTTATTATTATCCAGCCTGTGCCGCTAGCTACAATACATTTAAAAACATAAATCGTCAACATTAAAGTTTATAAGACAATAATTCCCAGGGGATGATACTACCACTACCAGACATGGATTATTGAAGAGTTATTGAAGTGTTAAAGCGTACATAAAATACCCACACGGATTTTCATCTTGGTTTTGCAGTAACGTGTCTCAGATCTTCTAAATAGAAACTTTATGAATCTACATATTGTAGAGTAACTCTTTTGGTGTAGATAACACTTGTAAAGACACACTTGTTAAACACACTCCCTCCTCATCGATCCGCCCTCATTTGACGAGAGTATTGATGGCGAGTTCAGGTAGTTACACTCCTAGTTCTGTCATGGCATTGAAACATTTCATTACATACCACAAAATCAATTTCGTTTTCCGTATAAAAGCCTGGCGTTTGAGGCCTTCAGGTTTGTTCTATATGTTAGTATGCTTTGTAAATAGCCATGCCTCGGATAACACCTATTGCGGCAGCCATGGACACTGAAGAGCGACAAAACCTGAAGTGGATCAAATTCAGCTAGGTCGATGTTCCGTGTGGAAATATAGTCATTCTGACAACCTAAGTAGTAGATGCTTTCCAAAATACATACTTGGTTCTTCTAATCATGAAACCCTGAACAGTGGACATTTCTTTGAAGCTAGACAATGCTACATCGAACACAGAATAAACCAAGAACAGTGACTTACAACCCGGGTGTACAGTTAGACAATGCTACCTCGAACACAGGATAAAACCCTTACATTGACTTACAAAATGGCTGTACAGTTAGACAAGGCTACCTCGAACACAGGATAAACTAGACAATGCTACCTCGAACACAGAATAAACCAGAAACAAAAACAGTAGACATAAGGCTACCTCGAACACTTACAAACCCAGAATAAACCAAGAACAGTGACTTACAACAGTTAGACAATGCTACCTCGAACACAGGATAAAACTGTACAGTTAGACAAGGCTACCTCGAACACAGGATAAACCCCTTACAGTCACTTACAAAATGGCTGTACAGTTAGACAAGGCTACCTCGAACACAGGATAAACTAGACAATGCTACCTCGAACACAGGATAAACCCATTACAGTGACCTACAAAGTGGATGTACAGCTAGACAATGCTACCTTGAACACAGGATAAACCCCTTACAGTGACTTACAAAGTGGCTGTACAGCTAGACAAGGCTACCTCAAACACAGGATGAACACCTTACAGTGACTTACAACCTGGCTGTACATCTAGACAATGCCACCTCGAACACAGGATAAACCCCTTACAGTGACTTACAAAGTGACTGTACAGTTAGACCATGCTACCTCGAACACAGGATACACCCCTTACAGTGACTTACAAAGTGGCTGTACATCTAGACAATGCTATCTCTAACACAGGATAAACCCCTTACAGTGACTTACAAAGTGTCTGTACAGTTAGACAATGCTACCTCGAACACAGGATAAACCCCTTACAGTGACTTACAAAGTGGCTGTACAGTTAGACAATGCTACCTCGAACACAGGAGAAACTAGACAATGCTACCTTGAACACAGGACAAACCGCTTACATTGACTTACAAAGTGGCTGTACATGTAGACAATGCTACCTCGAACACAGGATAGACCCCCTTACAGTGACTTACAAAGTGGCTGCACAGTTAGACCACGCTACATCGAACACAGGAGAAACTAGACAATGCTACCTTGAACACAGGACAAACCGCTTACATTGACTTACAAAGTGGCTGTACATGTAGACAATGCTACCTCGAACACAGGATAGACCCCCTTACAGTGACTTACAAAGTGTCTGTACATCTAGACAATGGTACTTCGAACACAGGATAAACCCCTTACAGTGACTTACAACCTGGCTGTGCATCTAGACAATGCTAGCATCGAGCACAGGATAAACCCCTTACAGTGACTTACAACCTGGCTGTGCATCTAGGCAATGCTACCATCGAACACAGGATGAATCCCTTACAGTGACTTACAAAGTGGATGTACATCTACACACTGCTACCTCGAACACAGGATAAACCCCTTACAGTGACTTACAAAGTGGATGTACATCTACACACTGCTACCTCAAACACAGGATAAACCCCTTACTGTGACTTACAAAGTGACTGTACAGTTAGACAAGGCTACCTCGAACACAGGATAAAGTAAACAATGCTACTTCGAACACAGGATAAACCCCTTACAGTGACTTACAAAGTGGCTGTACATCTAGACAATGCTTCCTCAAACACAGGACAAACCCCTTACAGTGACTTACAAAGTGACTGTACAGTTAGACAATGCTATCTCTAACACAGGATAAACCACTTACAGTGACTTACAAAGTGGCTGTACAGTTAGACAATGCTACCTCGAACACAGGATAAACCCCTTACATTGACTTACAAAGTGGCTGTACAGTTAGACAATGCTATCTCTAACACATGATAAACCCCTTACAGTGACTTACAAAGTGTCTGTACATCTAGACAACGCGACCTCGAGAACAGGATACACCCCTTACAGTGACGTTCAACCTGGCTTACAGTGATTTAGAACCTGGATGTACATCTAGACAATGCTTCCTCAAACACAGGACAAACCCCTTACAATGACTTACAAAGTAACTGTACAGTTAGACAATGCTATCTCTAACACATGATAAACCCCTTACAGTGACTTACAAAGTGTCTGTACATCTAGACAACGCGACCTCGAGAACAGGATACACCCCTTACAGTGACGTTCAACCTGGCTTACAGTGATTTAGAACCTGGATGTACATCTAGACAATGCTTCCTCAAACACAGGACAAACCACTTACATTGACTTACAAAGTGGCTGTACAGTTAGACAATGCTACCTCAAACACAGGATGAACACCTTACAGTGACTTACAGTGGCTGTACACCTGGCTGTGCATCTAGGCAATGCCACCATCGAGCACAGGATAAACCCCTTACAGTGACTTACAAAGTGACTGTACAACTAGACCATGCTACCTCGAACACAGGATAAACAGTTGACAATTGAGGTAACACCCTACTGCGATTTCACAATTACACCCGCCCTAAAACCTGATTGTACGTCTAGATATTGCTATGTTCTACTCGCCCCGACAAGTTGCGACTGCACCGCACCTGACTGGTTGACCTGACACTGCTTCACTGAATAATACAAGTTACACCCTACAGGTGGAGGGATTAAATGACGTGACCAACGGATAGTTCGGCTAACTTGGGTGTACAGATTGACAACTGAATCCATGAACCCCTAAAGTTGGATCATTTCAACTAACCTCTCTGAACAGTTCCATCTGCGAGTTGTCCCTCAGAAGGTTATTGTAGAACATCCGTACATCTTTTACATACTGGGATGGGGTTACCGTCCTGTTCATTTCAGCAGGGTGTTGGAACAATATCCTTGATATAGCCATTGGAGTCTTCAGCTTCACCTTTGGAGACAGTTAGTGTTCTTTTATACGAGTGTAAGCAATGTTTATTTGGAGAGAAGTCAGTAGATGCAGCTAAAAGAGATATTGACATAATTATCTTATCAGTAATTGCTTGCTACTGTTATGCACATAATGAATGCGACGTTATGAATGTGCTGAACCCAGTGGGGGATGCAGTAAGTCAGGGAGTTCACAAGCCAATATGAGAGCAAGTATGGATGAGGTGGTAACAGATACCTGAACCCATGGATGTGAGTCTGTGTCCACGCTGCACCAGCCGCCGATATGTTCATCTGACAACAGTGTTCATGGACATATATACTATGTTTCACTAAAATCTAGTCACTCATAACCATCATACAATTATTTCTCAAAGTAGCATTACTAAGGTTATTTACTGTGAACACAAATTAAAGGGTAGTATTAGATGGGGTACCTACCTGGACATCTTCGATTATCCAGTGTAATGTACATCCATATCCTTTTTGAGAAATACTTTCATCATTATACCTTCGATTCAGTAGAGACATTAAAGATACCACAGAAAATCTCTTGCTTGTAACAGCAATGTGCTTTTCGAATAGGACTCCTACTGCAGCTACTGAAGCTGAAGGATGCAGAGTTATAAAGATGGAGATACTATACACTGGTTGACCGAGGATGCTACCTGTGCAACAGCCATATCTTAGTTGTTCCTTGCCGTGACCGGGCGAGCTGGTGGATACAGTCAACTGGCCATCAGATATGGTCTTGTCCGACAGTCCAAGCCGACTGTCACACACTGTACAGAGGAAATATTAATGATGGAACGTCGACATGGTATGGTATCTATGAGTGAGTGAGGCTGTTCGCCGCTTCAGCATGTACTGGAGCACACCATGAAATCTTTAAAACATCGGCTGTCCTCTGTGTACGATTGAATCAATAGTTAAACCACGTAAAGGTATAAGATACAAGACAATGAGAAAATGTTGTTCTGTAGAGGTTTATCAACGTACATTTTGTCGGCGTTGAGTGGGTTGTAGAGGTTGTGGTTGTCTCTCCGGTTGATGGAAGGGGGCCTGGAACAGGTAGCAAGGGATGAACACAACTGTATGTCAATCATATAATTAAGTTACATATTGAACAAACTGAATGATTGTAGACTAGAGAGAATGTTGGTGATGTGGATGTTATTATTTTATGCTTAACAGTTCAGATTGGTCATGTGGTATATATTTGATCGTTTTGATTTGCATGATGAATGTCAACACCAGTGACCAGCTTTATCCGCTGTTGTAAGTTCTTGTATTTAAAAGCATAAAGCGTCTTTACTATTCAAATACCTCTGACACCAAAAGTGCATTAGTGTGGTTTGATCACGTCTTAACAGTATTCCAGTTATATCACAGATTTTAGTGAAACCATCATGGGAAACCCAAATGCAGTAATCTCCTGTACGAACCAACGTCCGCCGGCCAGGTACAGCTAACTAAGGAACTTGACTATGACAGCAGTATGACAGTTTAACAGGCAATACCTGCACCTAACGCAGATACACTTTTACAAACGTAAAACATGAATTGGTGTGGATCACATTTGTGGTTCCTTACTGTCTGTGACACCTGCTCTTTGTATTTCCCCGTACACCAGTTCTGCCGTCGTTATCTCCTGTATAACGAGTGTCACTGTGTCAGTTTCAGTGTACCCTATCTTGAGTGGCTGAGTCCTTGTTGCGTGTATCAGCACTCCAGCAGTAGAGAAGGATGTTCCTAGGACAGAGTTGCCTTCAAGGAGAGTAAGGCCGCGGCTGGGGCTCCACGACACTCGGAACCGGTACCACTGAGACGTCTCCAGACTGTAGGGCACCTGCAAGTACCACCTCTTGCTCGATGTTGTCACATAGCAGTGGAAGGCCTTATTCTGGTAGTACAACGCTATCCCCTTCACACCATCTGTATCCCCGCCACTGCTCACAAGATAAACCTTCTCCCTCGTCAGTTGCATGGTGAACTTGAGGGTCAACGTGAAGGTGAAACCAGACGTGCAGGTGTCAAGATGAGACAAACAGTCTGTAGACAGAGGCATTTCGAGATATCCACGGTTGGTCAGTGTGATGAGTGAGTGGTCAAGCGTGACAGAGCCATGTGTTGTCAAGTTCGTTGTAGTTGTCACAATGATGTTTTGTTCAACTCGAAGGAAGATGTACTTAATTACCGTCACTGTTGTTGCTGCAAAGACACACAGAAAATACTGTAGCGAGTGAAAGAAACAAAACGCAAAAGAAGCTCTTACCAAAACAGTGAAATGTACTTACCATCGCAGGTTTTACCAAAGTATCCCCTGGGACATATACACACGTTTTCACCAATGCAAGATCCGCCATTTCTGCAGAAATCAGCCTCACACAAATCTGAAAATGACAAACGTATTACGTACATACTGAGCATATTCTGATGGTTTGTTTACACTATCACGTTATTGTGTGGCCACAAGCCTTACCTTTGGGATCACAGCCCAGCAGCTCAAAACGAAAACATGCCTTGGATTCCCATGTCTGGGGCTCGAATCGTATAATGTCTGTCACCATTTTTGGTGACAGATATATCGTCATAGCGGTTGTTTTGTTGTATATTGCAGGAACATTCTGAAACATACAAACACTATTCGCATCACTTTTGTCTTAAGGAGCTAATACTATAGGTGTAATTTGGCAATTCCAGAAACATGGAGATAAATGTTGATTGGAATAATGCACACTACGGATTGTGTTATCGTCATAGTCATAGTAGTGTGACGTCATATTATTATGATGAGGTCACACTGGAACAGTTACTCGTTGATACACTCAGCGAAGGAGAAAATGGATAGATGGATGGTTAGATGGATGGGTGGGTTTTGGGTGTAGATATATCATGTTAACTTTACCTGACTAAACTCCATCATCTCCTTGGCATCAGCATGCAGGTCACGAAACAGCAGCCGGAACGTCTTCATGTACTCAGGGTAATACGTAGTGTTAATCTTAGGGTGTTGAAAACGAATTGCGGCAATTGCTGTTGGTTTGTCGAGGTGTACTTCGAAGAAGGACGCAGTATTTGGTTTCGGGCACCATGATGTTCCAGCTACACCTAAAAGGTAACAGGGTTATTAAAACCGTCACTATTCACATCACATCGAACAACATGTGTCCCCTTATCCGTTTCAAAAATTATTGATGGCCGGAATGTAATAGCATGATTTTGTTTCTTGATACCATTTAAACAATTATTGGTGGCCGGAATTGAATAGCATGATTTTGTTTCTTGATATGAAAACATTTAGTTTGTACAGGACAACTGCCACAGAAAATCATTTGTCATGATTTCCGAACCAACCATGAAATATTTGTTTTGAATTTGAAAACAACCTTTAACAAAGGGTCAGAGCTGAATCATTTCTGTGATTTAGTTCACTCTCTGCACATGCGCACCATTAATTGATTTAATACAAGGATTAACTATGTCCTTTTTTGCGTATTTTAACAAGCAAAGCGTGTTCAAATTAATCAAAGCGAAACAATACGGCATAAAATGCGACATATTTCGATTTTGAATCATGTCGCGTTTTGACATTGACGTTTTCCCCTTGTTGATTATTACATGGCTCCTTAGAGGTATCTGACAAGATCTTAATTAGCATCCATTTTCTTCACTGCAATAAGCACTATAAATCTGTATCAAAAATCTCATAAGTCATTTTAAAACAGTTATTTTCATTGATCTTTGATTTCACAGAAACCAGAGACATCAGTAATTTCCTCTCACCCTCTTTTGGTCCGTATCTGGCATCGTCCTTGTCATGTCCTGCTGCTGGAGTAGACGCAGACAGCTGGTCAGACCGGATTGTACCAGTCTCCATTCCCAGGGCCGCTTTACATTCTACATTAGGAAGTGAATGGTGTTACACGCAGTAGACAGCAACATGCAATCAGTGTGATGTCGGTCTGTAAAGGAATCTAGGCGGGCAAAGTATGATGAGCGCCATGAAGGAACGATGATGAGTGATGAAGAGAATGAAAAAATGACATAATCTTTACTATCTTTCAGGATGTTCCTTCTACAGATGTTATTGTAAGGAGCGTATAGGTCTTGTATTGTATTTACAGTAGAAAAGGTTCTGTCATACATAGAAAGCACTGCGTGAAATGTCAAGGCGGATAACTCACCCCCGGGGCGTGTAGGTTCACTCGGGAGGACAGGAGGTGAGGTATCTGTCAACGATAAAAGAGGACAGTCAGAATGATCGAAGTATTTAAAACGTTTTTAAAATATAAATGGACACACTAAGATCGAATGCTACAAACCATTTGTGAGTCGAGCCCGTATGACCTCGCTTCTGACAAGAGGTACCACTTGGAGCTGATAGATTCTCATGACGACGCCTGTGTTCAAACTGGACCCAATACTCAGCTCTCCTGCCTGAACATCATGAGACCGTCGTGGAATTGACTGGGTAATACTGCCGACGGTCTTGCTGTTAAGAAGGAGTTGAAGCCCTAGAATTCTGTTCCAGGAGATCTCAATCGTATACCATTCACTGAGTGAAAGAGGAGTAACGACGTCAATCACCCAGACCTCCGATGAGGTTGCCACGTGACACGACAAGGTCTTCCCTTCATAGTACAGCCATAGTCCATTGTGAGAAGCCTCATTTCCACTAGACATCAGGTATAGCCTCTGTGACGTCATCTTTTTCAATATTCAGTGTCAGACTGTTGGGGGGAAATGCAAAAAGTTTACAATAGAACTGATTTAATTTTTCAAAGGTCATTTGTTAAGGAATTTTTACTAGTCTTCTTTCTACCTGTAGATGCTAATGGGGATTTCAATCCTTCTCACCTGTAAGTTAAACCAGACTGACAGGTGTCCAGATTGTGCCAACATGGAGACAGGTGACCCGACCCTGGAGCTACTGTAGCTGTTCCTCCCTCCCCTAGACGGATGAGGCGCTGTGTCCCTACAGTCTCCACGGTAACGCTGCCCGATACACTCATGTTTAACGATGTGGTTTGCAGAATGTTATTTTGAATCCTCAAGAACAAGAACTTGGTTACAAAGGTGTATAATTCACTCTCTGAAACAAATAGCAATCGAATTACAATGTGTATAACCACAAGGTGGTCTGTATATTTCGATACACACAGTCACACTGTACCTGTGTATCGGCACTGTTCCCCGTAATACGCTCCTTTACATCCACAGAGGTTCTTCCCAACACATGTTCCTCCGTGTTGGCAAAAGTCTTTCTGGCAAAGACCTTAAATCAAAACAAACCTATTAGTAAAAATACATTGCTAGATATACTGAAGACGGCTGTTAAGACCTGGCCTACAGGAGGTGAGGTGAGGTGAAATTGGGTTTAACGTCGTGCTTGAGAATATTTCGCTCATATGACGACGTGCATGAGTGTGTATGTGTATGTGCGGCTGCTTGTACTAGCCCAGACTTAAGCTGGTTTTATAGTGCTAGCCCACTGAGATACCACGCCTCAGTGAAGCATGAATACCCCACTCAGACACATTATACTGACTCCGAGCTGACCAGTCCTTGTTGTACCCATTAATGCCGAGCGCCAGGCAGGGACAAACAAGTACCATAGTTTAACGTCTTTTGGTATGGCGCGGTCGGTGATCGAACCCGCGACCTTCCGCTCTCCGGGCGGACGCTCTAACCACTACACCACGGAGGTGGTCTGGCCTACAGAAATCAGATTGGGTAACTGTGTATAGGATAACAATAAGTTATGAAGTTTAGATATACGAAAGATATTCAGAATGAAATAAGCACTCACCTGTTGGTTCGCACCCATTTATTTCAAATTTAAAACAGGCCGCTTTTTCATACGTCTGAGGTTCGATCCTGATGGCTTTTGTGACAAAATATGGCTTGAATCCTATCCAGTATGACATCGATTCGTTGTAAATAGAACTTATGTTCTACAACAAATGCATACATTATTTGATTATATGGCACTCACAGAATTGATAATTACGCATGCTGTCACTTCATATTAAAAGGTTTGTTTCCACGTTTACTACATCTCTGCTCCTGTATTCAGTTCCCGTTATATAGTGGTCATCTGTTGAATAATGTTGCAAACACTGGGCTAATTCTCTCTGGAATATGATCAAGCAAACAAGTTTTTGTGTCATGTAACCTCGAAATATCAACACTCATACGTACTGACTTATCAGTTAATGGGAGAAGCTGACAGAAGTTTAGATTACTTTGTAGTTGATGACAAGATCTATTGTAGAGGATAATGGATAAAATTACTGACTCAATGCCTAGTTCTTGTGCGATTTGTTTAGTATGTTTAACTCCAGTACAGGTTTTTCTGTTGCAATCGAGATTCTCGATTTCAGTCTCATATGGAGGTCATGTTTGATTGAGTTCATATCGTAGAGAAGTATAACATTTAGAAATAATGAATCAGTTATGTCCAAAATTACAGTGTAAGTAAGCATTATATAAAAGGATCACGCCAAAAAGTATTTCTTTTTGTTGTTTTAATAGATACGGTTTATAGGTAGATATTGTACGTGGCATGACTTCCGTAAGTGGGTGTGCCTTTAATTTGAAACGAAACACTGAGCCCAAGGTACAAGCTGGCTTTCCCACAAATGTTCTATGCTCATTATATTTTGATACTGATGTTTACATTTCAGTTTGTTAACGGTAAACGTTTAAATGCGAATATTCTTTGGAACACCAAAATTAATCTATATAAAATAGTGGATTGTTTTTCAGAGTATTATCTGCTTTGAAGCAGATCGTGGCATGTGCTTAAAACAGCTTCTGGCACAAAATGTCTAATGACATTAAAACAATCACATATCTTTAACTTACATGATTAAACTCCAGGAATTCTTCTGAACCAATGGCTGGTTTGTAAAGCAGCCGAAATGTCTTCATATATTTGTCAGCAAAATCGTTACATGAGGTTGTTGCTGATGTGGGATGTTGGAACTTAATGGAAGCTATAGTGGTCAGGTTCTCCAGATGCACCTCGAAGTACGGAGTGGGGTCATCTGTTGCCGGACACCAGGCAGCACCACAGTCAGCTGTAATTACAGGTCCTTGTCACACTTCCAACTAGTATAGAACCTCTCCTTGAACAGTCGAACGTCGTTAGCAGAAACATCATTAGCTAAATTCGATACACCCGGACTATTGAGTAACTGGAGATAATCAATAATCGACTATGGCACTGTATGTGTGAGACGTCAAGAACGATTCGGAATAGAATGATTGGTTGATTTCAGAAGGATATTGTGTTGGAAATTTAAACCACTCCACGCTTCCGTCCGGCAAAATACGTCCTGAAATACGATTTGTACAACAAATCAGTGTCCTTTTTGGCTCTCACGTTAACTCACTCGCTGACTCTGATGACGTAACAGAATGTAATGTGTGAGGCAAATGTCTCATATCCCCCGCGGTCACATTGCAAGACATATTGCTGAAAGCGGTTTAAAATCATATTGATTCATATAAACATACCGCTAGTGTAGGAGGTACTGAACGTTCATGGACGTCTGTGACATGTAGAACAATGTACAGGAACACTCACCCTGGCAGCAGTCGTATCGAGCGTGTTGTTTGAGATTATCCCCATCTGTGGAGGACACTACCAGTGCCGAGTCTTGAATACCACCACTCGCCATCCCTTGTGGGACGTCGCACTCTGCCAAAGTGGAAATACCAGCGTAATACAACATATTACAAGACACATACCCATTGAAATAAACAAAGCAGGGTTTAATATTATGCAAAAACAGAAATGTTACTTTCAAGTCGCCTCAGTCATTCTTACAACAACAAATACACATCTTTGAGTGGCATTTAGAAGCTGGTGTGATGAACAACCTTGGTGTTCAACAAATAAACAGTATTGGATTTAAATAAATCACCTCCAACTATTTTCTACTTCTTGTATTTCTATCAACATAATAGTTTAGGGTTCTGACAGTTCATAAAACTGATAATATTTATCTGCTATTGTTATATTCAACTCACACACGGAGCCGAAATCGATCCATACCTTCTACATTCTTTTGAAAGAAAAATGGCTTTATAACGTGACTGTAGGATGATAATGCTGTAATTTATTTCACGTTTAATATTATCTGCATAAGACACGCCCGATAGTTTATTATGTTGGCCCATCACTTAGCTGCCGTCAGGTACAGTCTGATCGATTCTGTGATGTACAAGTAGCTGCTTATGAAATAGACAGGCCGGTCACACGCGGTACATAACCCAAACCGTACCGGTGTTCAATGTCAGTTTATCACGTCTAATCTGAACAAACAGTCAGCAGCGTCCAGATGTTGTCAGTGTGGCAGGTAGCTGGCGATCCGGGTACACAGCCTTATCTAACGTGCCTGTGTACCCGGGTATTATTTACAAGGTAGGGATACCACATAGTCTAGGCGTTGGCCAACTAGTGAGGCCTTATCGGTAAACACAGAAGAGAAACACTATTTCTGAGCTTTTTAACCTTTGTCAACACGCAGTAAAACGCCACATCGGTGTCCATATTTGAAAGTGAACATGGTGTAGTTATTTCGGAACTTCAGTGTATGAGCAGTAATTCGGTAAGAATGATGGATATTATGGAATGCAATACATAATTCCAATATTATAGTCCGTTTGTCTCAAAAGCGGACCGATGAATTGCAATCTAACTCGAACACTAATTTTTGTCCTAAAAATATAAAAGTTGTTTAACAAACTATCATTAAAATACTGACAGAGTTCACTGTTTGTTACGGCACAGCACAGGTTAATGAATAAATAACTTTGTCGGCATTTGTGCACGTGCTTCTCGAACACATGACTGTCCCTTTCTCTGCACTCCTCCCTCTTAACAAATAGTGAACTGTGTCAATATTTTGATGACATATTGTTTAACAACTAATATATTTTGAGGACACAAATTGTGCAAAAACCTCACAAAGTTGGTATGATGTTTTGATTATGACCAGCGTTTCATTGAGTATTTTATGATTATTAGTGTTCGAGTTAGATTGCAATTCATCGGTCCGCTTTTGAGCCAAACGGACTATAGAGTAGTTTACATCACACACGATGACATTCTCTGTTCCTAATTGACAATGTAATGAATGTGTGTCTTTAAAACGAAACCACTTTGTACTTACAATGTATAAATAATGCAGACTTGTTCTCGTCACTATATGGCTGGAATAATGCCGATGTGACGTAAAGCCCAACTCAACTCAACTCACCTCAACTGTCTCTCTGTGATATATCTCTCATGACATAAAGACAGAGATATTATGGTAATATAGGATGGACTCTCTCACGTTTGTTAATTGACCTGTCCCTCTGTGGTATATCATTGACACTGTGGAGAGTTATTATGGATTATGGTTGGGACTCTCCCATGTTTGTTAATTGGTCTGTCCCTCTGTGGTATTTCACTGACACTGTGGAGAGTTATGATGGATTATGGATTCACGTTTGTTAATGGACCTGTCCCTCTCTCACGTGTTGTTAATTTACCTGTCCCTCTGTGGTATATCACTGACACTGACACTGAGAGTTATTATGGATTATGGTATGGACTCTCCATGTTTGTTAATTGGTCTGTCCCTCTGTGGTATATCACTGACACTGTGGAGAGTTATTATGGATTATGGTATGGACTCTCTCACGTTTGTTAATTGACCTGTCCCTCTGTGGTATATCACTGACACTGTGGAGAGTTATTATGGATTATGGTATGGACTCTCTCACGTTTGTTAATTGACCTGTCCCTCTGTGGTATATCACTGACACTGTGGAGAGTTATTATGGATTATGGTATGGACTCTCTCACGTTTGTTAATTGGTCTGTCCCTCTGTGGTATATCACTGACACTGTGGAGAGTTATTATGGATTATGGTATGGACTCTCTCACGTTTGTTAATTGACCTGTCCCTCTGTGGTATATCACTGACACTGTGGAGAGTTATTATGGATTATGGTATGGACTCTCTCACGTTTGTTAATTGACCTGTCCCTCTGTGGTATATCACTGACACTGTGGAGAGTTATTATGGATTATGGTATGGACTCTCCCATGTTTGTTAATTGGTCTGTCCCTCTGTGGTATATCACTGACACTGTGGAGAGTTATTATGGATTATGGTATGGTCTCTTTCACGTTTGTTAATTGACCTGTCCCTCTGTGGTATATCACTGACACTGTGGAGAGTTATTATGGATTATGGTATGGACTCTCCCATGTTTGTTAATTGACCTGTCCCTCTGTGGTATATCACTGACGCTGTGGAGAGTTATTATGGATTATGGTATGGCCTCTCCCACGTTTGTTAATTGGTCTGTTCCTCTGTGGTATATCACTGACACTGTGGAGAGTTATTATGGATTATGGTATGGACTCTCTCACGTTTGTTAATTGACCTGTCCCTCTGTGGTATATCACTGACACTGTGGAGAGTTATTATGGATTATGGTATGGACTCTCTCACGTTTGTTAATTGACCTGTCCCTCTGTGGTATATCACTGACACTGTGGAGAGTTATTATGGATTATGGTATGGCCTCTCCCATGTTTGTTAATTGGTCTGTCCCTCTGTGGTATATCACTGACACTGTGGAGAGTTATTATGGATTATGGTATGGACTCTCTCATGTTTGTTAATTGGTCTGTCTCTCTGTGGTATATCACTGAAACTGTGGAGAGTTATTATGGATTATGGTATGGACTCTCCCATGTTTGTTAATTGGTCTGTCCCTCTGTGGTATATCACTGACACTGTGGAGAGTTATTATGGATTATGGTATGGACTCTCCCATGTTTGTTAATTGGTCTGTCCCTCTGTGATATATCACTGACACTGTGGAGAGTTATGATGGATTATGATGGATGTTGATATGGTGTCTCTCTCACGACACTTGTTATGGATTATGGGTGTGTCTCTCTGTGGTATATCACTGACACTGTGGAGAGTTATTATGGATTATGGTATGGACTCTCCTCTCATGTTTGTTAATTGACCTGTCACTCTGTGGTATATCACTGACACTGTGGAGAGTTATTATGGATTATGGTATGGACTCTCTCACGTTTGTTAATTGACCTGTCCTCTCTGTGGTATATCACTGACACTGTGGAGAGTTATTATGGATTATGGTATGGACTCTCTCATGTTTGTTAATTGGTCTGTCCCTCTGTGGTATATCACTGACACTGTGGAGAGTTATTATGGATTATGGTATGGACTCTCCCATGTTTGTTAATTGGTCTGTCCCTCTGTGGTATATCACTGACACTGTGGAGAGTTATTATGGATTATGGTATGGACTCTCTCACGTTTGTTAATTGGTCTGTCCCTCTGTGGTATATCACTGACAATGTGGAGAGTTTTTATGGATGATGGTATGGACTCTCCCATGTTTGTTAATTGACCTGTCACTCTGTGATATATCACTGACACTGTGGAGAGTTATTATGGATTATGGTATGGATTACGTTTGTTAATTGGACTCTCTGTGATATATCACGACACTGTTGTTATTATGGATTATGGTATGGACTCTCTCACGTTTGTTAATTGACCTGTCCCTCTGTAATATATCACTAACACTGTGGAGAGTTATTATGGATTATGGTATGGACTCTCCCACGTTTGTTAATTGACCTGTCCCTCTGTGGTATATCATTGACACTGTGGAGAGTTATTATGGATAATGGTATGGACTCTCCCATGTTTGTTAATTGGTCTGTCTCTCTGTGATATATCACTGACACTGTGGAGAGTTATTATGGATTATGGTATGGACTCTCCCATGTTTGTTAATTGGTCTGTCTCTCTGTGATATATCACTGACACTGTGGAGAGTTATTATGGATTATGGTTGGGACTCTCCCATGTTTGTTAATTGGTCTGTCTCTCTGTTCTCTGTGGAATATCACTGGCACTATAGGGAGAGAGACATACTAGGTATGTACTCTCTCACGTTTGTTAACTTGTCTGTCTCTCTGTGGTATATCACTGGCACTATAGAGAGAGATAGACCATAAACATCATGAACACCGATCCACGCAATTGGGATACGATGACATGACAAGTCTGACCACCCGATCCCATTAGTCACATCTTACGACGCCATAATTATAGATTGGTGTCTCATTTCAGGGAATTAATCTGGCGATGACACCGTAGAGACAGTTACAAAGTGTGTCCGATTTGGCGTCTGTGAATTGGTTCGCCAATGTCGGTATATCACTCATATATCATATACTTCTTTTCTTACGGTTATGTATAAATGTTCATTTATGAAAAACATACAGAAAAATATTTATCACCAACAAGTGGTTGAAATTGTAAAAAATGAGACTCGTCTATTGTAACACAGATTCCTGTGCACTTATGTAGCCAGGAAGCGCATCCCTTGGGCCACAGAGGAGTCGCTAGAATTGTCGAGGGAAAACATTGTCCATTACACGGTCTTCTAAAGTCATTACATCGTATCAATACCATTTTGTTTACCAAAGAAACAATTTAGGTTTATGGTCTTAATGGAATATATTATCTTGTTTTGCAACTGTAGTGAATGAAGATACCTATCCACAGTAACAGTCCCTTGGTCTCTTCTTTATCCAACAAAGCTTGACGCTTGCCATGTTATATGATCGAAGTACTTTTCAAATG